TTGCTGGCTGATAGACAATATTCGTCTGGTCAATATTGACGACAAATGCAGCATTGAAGATTGCGCAGTCACGAATTGTGAGTGTTAGCCGGAGGAACTGATCGAGGAGAAGCTGCTCAACATTTGGTGGCGTTTTTTGAGCTGCACGTGTTGCCCTGCGGAAGCTCCAATTGAGATGCTCAACAAGAAACTCCTTCACCCAACTCTCTGTGCAGCGGAAGCGAGAACCGTCCTTGGCGACATGCCCAAAAATATCAGGAACGGAGTGTTGCAGGCGTGCAAGGATGATACCATGGCAGCGGAGAGTGTCCAACGCAACACCAACTTGACGGAGAGACTGAAGGTCGTTGATGATCAATTTGACCACGTTGGGATAGGAGGATAGATTCAAGTCAACATCCCATGGCAAACGCTCGAGCGAATCTAGAACCTCGTCTACAACTACTGACTCAGAAGCACCATGACCCGTGTCCTCTTCATCCTCAAGCCTCTGAAGAACCCAATCATGGGCCGATATCCAGGCGAGACGAGCCTCCAGGGCACATGACATGTCCCTCCAGTATGAAAGAACCCAGAACGGAAGGTGAAATGTTGGGGAAAGTGGATGGATGATTGAAGTGTGACCATTAAACCAAGCCTGACTGAACTGATCGAGGAGCTGAGTGACGCAATGGAGCGGGGGAATTGACCATGTCGTGAAATCATTGGGAAGGCTGAGGAGAGGGGGGTTTGTTGAGAAAATGATGGTGTCTGGGCTAAGATCACAGTCCAGCGATGCGCAAAGACTGATGTCGAGTAGCTGCGCGACAGGCAGAGTCCGAGATGGGATGGTTGGTTGCATTGGAGTTGGGATCCTGAGTAATCGTGTGATCTCATGTTGAACAGAAGGCGGCAGTTTGCTCTGGTCAAAAACACGACCACATGAGAGCCACTCTGAAGCAACAAACATATCAGTTTGCGATGGCATGATGGGCGCTTGAAAACGGATCATACTAGTAGACTCACCTGGCAGGCTTTAAGACCACAGAGTCTCCAATTCCACTCGTTACCAGTCAGCGCTATGCGAGGCGAATCCATGACAGACTGAAGCAAGTTGCTTGAATCACGAAGCAGCATGTCAGATGGTTGCAAATGGCGTTGCGAGCGGCGAAGCACTACAATCCGCAGGCAAATCTATTTGGGTAAGGTCACAGGTCACCTGGACATTCGAACCTGTAAGACTAAGCGTGACATCGTCACGGGCTGCACGTGACGAACCTAGTGTCGTATCTCTACAGTATCTCCTCGTCATGGATGCTCAAGAAGATCAATTCGAAATGGATCGTCAACGGCTCGCCTTGCTCGTTTCCAATCCTCAACTGGAGGTTCGGGATCGTCTTGTTAAATGTATAGGACTTGTTATCAGTATAGTAGTCGCTGCAACACATGGTACATTGCAGACCATATATCCCAAGGACCGACAACCATATCACACCTTGGCCCTCTCTGGGCAGGACTGGGTTATTGAATTACTAACTGGTCACCCAGAGTGCATCCACTGTGAACTTGGCATGCACACCTCTGCCTTTGTGGAGCTTATCACTCAGCTTCGCGCTATGGGCCACTCAGATTCCAAATTCATCTCCCTCGAGGAACAACTCGCTATCTTTCTGTACGCTTCGGTGACCGGCCTATCAGTCAGACATGTCGGGGAGAGATTCCAACACTCAAACGAAACAATATCTAAGTACATTTATTTTTATCTAGGATGCAGTGGATATCTGACTCTAGCGCATAGGTACTTTCACAAGATCCTCGTTTCTTTCTCCTCCGAACCATTCTATTCAACATATGTCCAGTTTCCTGATGGGTCCGTCCCTCGCGAAGTCCGCAGAAACCCTAAGTGGTGGCCTTTTTTTAAAGGTGCCATTGGTGCAATAGATGGGAGCCATATTCAGGTGACCCCCAGGGCTACTGACCGTGCTGTGTATCATAATCGGAAGGGGTTCTTATCTCAAAATTGCCTTTTTGCGTGTGATTTCGATCTCAAATTTACCTACGCACTCACCGGCTGGGAAGGCTCTGCAATGGACGCTCGTGTTTATGAAGATGCGTGTCTGAACGACTTCGAAGTTCCCCCACGCAAGTATTTTCTTGCAGATGCGGGTTATCCACTCCGTCCCGGCTTACTTGTGCCATACTGAGGTGTGCACTATCACCTAGCTGAATGGGGACGCGCAAACACCAGGTAGGTCCTTTTACTTGAATTAAGCTCAATTTGGAACTCATCTTCCCTACAGGCCTGCTAATAAAGAAGAACTATTTAATTTGCAACACGCATCAGCAAGAAACGTCATCGAGCGCATCTTTGGCGTTTTGAAGTGTCGTTTTCAGATCTTGCTGTTGCTGCCTGCATATGCCATGGAGTTGCAAGCGTAAATTCCCGCTGCACTGTGCGCCGTTCACAACTTCATCCACATGCATGATCCCACAAACATCCCCACCAATGAGGCTGACGATGAAGATGATGACAAAGACTGGCAGGGTGGATATTCTGGTGGAAATGCCGAAGAAGACAGTATTGCGGCTATCGAAGAAGATAATGAACTTGAGTTTCGTCAAGGATCTGCGATGTGGAATGACTATCAGCGCATCTTGTTAGAACGTACTTTCGAAGGGATAGATCTTGATGAGGGGGATGAGGACCTCGAGGATGCTTTTGATGAGGATGAGGATCAGGACAGTTTTGCTTCGGAATAATTCACACTTCGAGTACCACTTTGTAGCCTCCAAAATCAGACAAACATTGATGCATTGCGACAGTTGTGAACATGTAGTATTGTACATACATTGAAACAAAAGCAAGCGGTAAAGAACAAGGTACATGATATATTTTCAGCCTGCCATTGCATCTGTGATGAGCTTCTCAATAAACGGACACCTGATTGCTTTGTCCGTGAGGGACACATAGAACTTCAGGAATCTCTCGTTGTTCTTCTCACCAAGGACCATTATCAAGACGGCATGCTGGTCAGCAGGCATGTCGGCGTCCTCAGTTTGCAGTAGGTGTGCCGCGTGTGTCACCAAGTCCATGCTGTCCTCAGGCTCAGGCACAGGTGGAGGCGGAGGCGGAGGCGGAAGGGTACCATTATTCATGGAACTAACAATGAATTTTTCAAAGATATCTGTCAGACGGTTGACAGTGCCCTGCAGTCCCATCACGGCAGCAGCAGGCGTGATATTGGCGGCCTGTGTTGCACTGCTCATCTTGGCTGCATTGGTCATCTTCTGAGAGACGTGCGAACGTGCTTTCTTTGAGGGGGGCAGACACCAAGGTGGTGGAGACCGGCTGAGCCAAATCATGGGTCGACGCAAATGAAGTGGTCTTGACAGAATCCACATTGGTGCCCTTGTAAGGGTGCTTGGCACCAGCAGAGCTGGTAGCGGTAGAGAGACCACCGGTGTTAGAGCGAGGACCGGTGGTGAATGAAGGGCCGGTGACAGATGAATGATTGGCAGTGGTGGAAGGACCGGCAGAAGAGAGGGCTGGAGCCTGAGCAAGGCCAGGCTCATCCTCATCAGCATCTGGTACTGGTGGAGGACCCATAACACCTGGGTGGAAGGCATGGCGCCCTCTAGCGCCACCCAAGGGAATTATTTCCTGCATTTTCTCAAAGTAAGGCCAGCCTGTGTTGTGGAATGAACGCATGTGAGAATTGGACTAAAAATGTTAGCTTTTATTTGAAAAATAAAAGGGGCTGACGTACACTGAGCGCAACATACGAATCCCACACAGTGGACGCTGCAGGGCCATGGATCCCAGCTCCATTGGCACCGTCCCAGTGTGTACCGGTCTGGTTGCGGTATTTATCGATAGTGTGATGAATAGACTTGACTGAAATATTGAATCAGTAAAGTGAGTGAAGGACAGAGTTGGATGGATGCACTGATGCCCACTTGCTCTTCACCATCTTGACGGTCTTTGCTGGACCGATCCGCAATGGTTGAAGGTCGGGATCATCGTTGATGACTGTTAGTGCAGAAGTATACACCTGTGGCTTGAAGTTGCCGGAGGTATCACCACTTGCACGGTTATCGTACATATGATTAACAAGTGTGGTGATTTCTTCGTTTCTCCAGTGTGCAGGTGTGCGCCTTGTAGGGATTTCATGGGCCTCAGGTTGAGCCATGATAAGATTGGTATATTGAGTACAGATCGCAGTGATCGCGATGACACCAGCGATCAGTCCATTGCGCTGGTGGATATCAAAGGAGGAGGAGGAGCAAGAGATCTCCATTGATTAGTATGTACAGTAGGAGACAAGGAAGGTTTAAGCTCCGACGAACTTTCGGGACAATGCCGACGAATTTGCGTGATCAATATTTCAAAACTTCATGCAAATATTTCTATCCGAACATGCTCTTAGAACAAGAGGGACAGGTTAGGATTTGAAATTTTGTTCAATACTACAAGGTGACATGTGATGCGTGATGCATCACTGGTGCGCAAAATCCCGAACACAGCTCAACTTTAGATAAGCAAAAAAACCTTAATACATAGCTACATGAAGTTATGAGCAGCACATTTTGAGTTCCTCGCCAGTGGCCTCAAATCATTGTAAAATCGTTTGACGAGTACTGTAAAGGGGGCGTTTTTTGCTACTGTAGAATAGATCTATGTCGGAAAAAAGTTTCCAGGGTTTTAAGGCCTTGCAAGACATTTTAATGCTATATTTGGAGGGTGTCCTTATAAGGGCTTTTAAACGGGTAAGATAATATTTTAATGCTCATTAAAAGGCACTTATAAGGGCCCTTTTGTAGTGCTGCCGTAGTCCGGTTCTGAACCTCGGTTCGAACCCGAACCTTTCCGAACTGGACTCAAGGTCTGGTCACAGGTCCGGCATGGCCCCTGGACCAAACCTTGAGTCCGGTTTGGGGTTTGGAGCTACCCACAACCGGTTTGGACATGTTTGAACCCCACCATGATCATCATCTGTCAGCGCCCTACACTACCTCAATTTCAACCGCCTCATTGGAATGAGTTCACGTAGTATAATGAGCTGCATTTCTGATTTGAGTCGGACTGCCCTCATTCCCTCGCACCACCATGATTGCCCAGCAGGATGATGAGGAGACACCTCTTCTGCAACAACCAGAGCAACCAAAGGCCAAGACACCTCTACCCTGGGATCAATTTTGGATTCCCTGTTTATTCCTCAAGTGAGTATGTTCCCTTCACTGGACTTATATCTGATCACAACTGGAATTTTGTCAAGCTCATCAGAGACATTGGAGTCACTCATGGAGATGAAACTCAGGTTGGACACTACGTCAGCATTCTTGTAAGCATGTCTTCATCGTTTTTGCCCTTTTCCTTCGTTCATGATACTATTCTCTCCAGAAATCATCGTACTTTGCAGCTCATACCCTGACCATTTTTCATTGGAGTCAACTGTCCGACCACATCGGGCGGAGGCCCGTAATCCTGACAGCTCTATTAGCACTTGTTATTTCAATGTTTGCATTTGGGCTGTCAAAGAGCTTCCTTGCTCTGCTGGTAAGGTCAGTGTTCAGTTAAATATCAAATAGTAGTTGTGATCGTCAATTACTTGACCACAGTCGTGTTGTCTGCGGAGCATTTGATCCGAGCACTGCTATCATCAAGACCATGCTGATGGACATTACCGATGCAACCAATATGCCCAAGGCATACAGTTATATGCCAATTCCATTGATGATTGGAACCACAGTTGGGTAGGCATGCAGTCCATTTTCTCTTGCGCTGAGATTCACAGAATCTATCAGACCACTCATCGGAGGCTCGCTCTCCCAGCCAGCAGACAGATTCTCTGGCATTTTTGGGTGATCGAACTCCTGAAAACCTACCCATATCTCCTGCCATGCTCTATCTCAGCATCTTTCATATTCATAACTTGGCTAGTTGCGTATGTCCGTCTTAAAGAGGTGAGCGCGATGCTGAAAATCCATCTCTGGATCAGACTAAGTGTGGTTACAAGAGCGTTTCTACCAGGACACCGCTTTTTTCTATGCTTGTTTACATGATCGCTTCGGTGCAATCTTCTTGTCTTCTTCCAGGTTCCCTCCTCCTACTCTCGTCTGTCGTCCGCACTCATCTGAGCCATGTCAGCAGTTGCTGATGTGCACTGGGCATTTGCGCATGGCATTCGTAGTGTTGGAAATGGCATGGTGGAGCTCTGGCCCATCGTCTGCAAGCTTGGTCGAACCCGGTTCGAATGCGAACTGGACCTCCTGAATGCGTTTGGTGATGTTCGGTCCAGGGTTCGACCAAACAGCCAAACTGAACCTATGGTTTGGTTTGGTGTTCGGAAAATTTGGCCCAAGAACCAGACTGAACCGGACTTCAGCAGCACTACCTGTTACAGGCATCCGTAACACCTACACCAGCCCCCGCTCTACTAGACTCCCGACGCAGCGATTGACTCCACTCATCACCCTTCTCGCGTCGTGCATCGTCAATTGTCTCAAATCGCCCATTCTTCAAGGCTAAGTCGCTCATATCCTCCCCAGAGTTGTCGCTGCCGATCACCTCATCGCGCTCTCCTCTGTCCCTTCGCTCATTCTCCCTATGCAACAGGAACATGAATGCTGCTGAACATAACCAACCAATTGCAATGTAGGCAAGAATGATGCCATGGCCAAGCCTATACCAAGGTGCATCCTGTGCACGATACTACGGGCCAATATAAGCTGGCAGTTAGTTTGAGCTAGTTTTGCGGACTCACAACGTTTGAGGAAACAGCTCCGTTCAAATTTCCCCTTTATTGGTGTCAATTACACTGCCTGGTTAATGTAAGGATCGACGTACCACCCGATAGCCATGGCTAGTGTGACACCTCGTTTATATGAGCCCTCAACATTGTTTGCCACCCATGCTCTGAAGTACGGTCAGTAAGAGAAGTAAGAATAAACCAAGTAACGGACACCGAGTTTGCTGTTTCATGGCTGCATCAGTTCCATGCAAGGGGCCCATGCCTTCAAAACATTGAATCTTCATAATCAGAAACCTGGGGTACATTTCAAATATCTTAAGTATCATAGACATAAATTTACAGACAAATCAACCAAGAATTGAGTACTGAGGAAGTGAAATGGGTAAGAAATTGAGTGTGGGAAACTTCAAAGACCCAAAGCATCGAAAATGGTTAGTTGAGCAGTGGTAGGACTTTAATGCTGGGTCAACTCATATTTTCACTATATTCCTTCTACCCACCCCCTACCCTCAGGGCAGTAGGAAGTATGGGTTCCTTGGGTAGTTTATGATCTATCCTACATATTTGTAATGATATTTTCGGCCTGAATCATATATAAATGTGACTTTGTATAAAAGATGTCTATTATCACTCTCCACACATATGTCATTTTGCCTATCATTACATCAATCCTTCATGAATCTTTCTAGGCTTTTAAGCTATTATAATGGATGTATATGGGTGTTATTCCAGGTCTCTCATCACATCACAGGCTTGTTATGTTGGATATCTCGACATAATGTGCAAGTCTCGCTATTAATATTCATTCTTTTATCTTTACACTCACTTACTGCACACATGTATTTCATTTGTCATTATTGATGTTTTGGATTTCTTTAGCTTATATCTCGGTCACATGGTAACCAATGGATGAGAAAAGACTACAAATAAACTGATCTAGACTCGGACTACAACCTTCATTAAGCTGACTACTGATTCCCGGTGAAGGTTCAACGATACAGCGAGGCACGAACAATGCTCCTGACTGTATCTATAATTGTTGTAAGGTCGCGCATTGCCTAGTCTGCTATACTTGAGACGACAAGTGCGTTCGACCCTAAAGGGGAAGCGAGTGCAGCAAGGATCTAGAGGTATGCGCTGAAAGCGCTACTGGTTGGCCAATGCGAAGCGCGAGAAAGCGCAGGTGCACGCAAGGCGCGGGAATGCGCGCGTGTATGGCGCGAAGCGCGGGAAAGCGTGTGCGTGTATACAGATATGAGAGAGAGTAAGAGTGAGTTTGCTTAAGTGATGATATGATGTAAGACAAGAGAAGAGAGATGCGTTGGTGTAAACAAATAGATTTCTACTATGTGCTGCTAGGTGAATAGTGGGTAATAACCAGTAAGTCCTCTGTCGTTCTGGTGGGAGAGTAAGTTTTTGTATGTACTGCTGGCGCTTAAGTATGGCGCCTAAGCGCTGTCATGCGGAGCCGAAGCGCTACCGAGTAAGGTATGTAAAGATATATGTAAGTAAGGGTCCATGATAAAAATAAAGATGGAACGATAAGCAAATGTGAGAAATGGAAATATACGCACTAGGGAACTTGGTGGACAGTGGATGGATGCTTCCGGATGGCTGGCGCTATAGGGCGCTCAAGCGCGGGAAAGTGCGCGCGCATATACATCGTGAAGCGCAGGAAAGGTACGCGCGCATGGCGCGCGTTGCGCGGGAAAGCTGCGCCTCATATAGAGATAGCTGCAGGTAGCACACAGAGTGATGCTACAAGTTCGTGCCATGTACTCCCCAGTGAAAACTGCCATATTGCACAATGAGAGGCATGAGTCTCTACACCGAAGCCTGAGACCCGAAAATTTGTACACAACATTTCCATTTTTCACTTGTTGCACAAATTACTGAGTTTCAAGTGCCGAAACCCAAAACTCGAAACCTGGTGTGCAACATGTTCATTGTTCATTTACATTACACAGATCATCGAGTTCTGAGTGCCGAGGGCCGAGACCCGAAAATATGTATGCAACATGTCCATTTTTCACTTGTTGCACAAATCACCAAGTTTTGAGTGCCAAAACCTGAAACTCGAAACCCAGCGTGCAACATGTCCATTTTTCATTTATATTACACAAATCATCGAGTTCCGAGTGCCAAGGGCCGAGACCCGAAGCCCGAGACCTGAAAATATGTATGCATCATTTCCATTTTTCACTTGTTGCACAAATCACCGAGTTTCAAGTGCCAAAACCTGAAACTCAAAACCGGGTGTGCAACATGTCCATTGTTCAATTATATTACACAAGTCATCGAGTTCCGAGGGCCGAGGGCCGAAACCCGAACCCCGAAAATATGTGCACAACATGTCCATTTTTCACTCACTGCACAAATCACCAAGTTTCGAGTGCCAAAACCCGAAACTCAATCCCCAGTGTGCAACATGTCCATTTTTCATTTACATTACACGGATCATCAAGTTCCGAGTGCCAAGGGCCGAGACCCGAAGCCCAAAACCCAAAATCATGTACACAACATGTCCATTTTTCACTTGTTGCACAAATCACCAAGTGTCGAGTGTCGAAACCTGAAACCCAGTACTTCACATGGACATGAATTGTATTTGTATGTATTATCCATTGGTGTAGGGTTCAAATAACTTGGTAATTGTATTTGTCAGTACTCGGTACTTGGTACTCGGTGATCGGTGGTCAGTGGTTGGTACTCGAGACTCGGTAGTCAATATAGGCAAATGATAATGAAAAATGACAGTTGTAGTCCATGTCAAGGTGAGTGTCTTGGTAGTCTTTCCTTGTCATTCGGCAAAACATCAGCAATAATGAAAAAATGAAAGTTGTTATTATGCTTAACTTCCTTACCGAAGGTTGTAGTCCAAGTCCAGGTGAGTGTAGTGGTAGTCTTTTCTTGTCAATTGGTTATCTTGTTACTCATTATGCAGTACTCGGTACATGGTAATTGGTACTCAGTATTTGGTTTTGATACTCGGTACCCGGTGTAGAGACTCATGCCTCTCATTGTGCAATATGGCAGTTTTCACTGGGGAGTACATGGCACGAACTTGTAGCATCACTCTGTGTGCTACCTGCAGCTATCTCTATATGAGGCGCAGCTTTCCCGCGCAACGCGCGCCATGCGCGCGTACCTTTCCCGCGCTTCACGATGTATATGCGCGCGCACTTTCCCGCGCTTGAGCGCCCTATAGCGCCAGCCATCCGGAAGCATCCATCCACTGTCCACCAAGTTCCCTAGTGCGTATATTTCCATTTCTCACATTTGCTTATCGTTCCATCTTTATTTTTATCATGGACCCTTACTTACATATATCTTTACATACCTTACTCGGTAGCGCTTCGGCTCCGCATGACAGCGCTTAGGCGCCATACTTAAGCGCCAGCAGTACATACAAAAACTTACTCTCCCACCGGGACTAACTTACTCTCCCACCAGAACGACGGAGGACTTACTGGTTACTACCCACTATTCACCTAGCAGAACATAGTAGAAATCTATTTGTTTACACCTCGCATCTCCCTTCTCTTGTCTTACATCATATCATCACCTAAGCAAACTCACTCTTACTCTCTCTTGATTCCGCATACACGCGCGCGCATTCTCGCGCCATACACGCGCGCATTCCCGCGCCTTGCGCGCACCTGCGCTTCGCATTGGCCAACCAGTAGCGCTTTCAGCGCATACCTCTAGATCCTTGCTGCACTCGCTTCCCCTTTAGGGTCGAACGCACTTGTCGTCTCAAGTATAGCAGACTAGGCAACGCGCGACCTTACAACATTATAGATACAGTCAGGAGCATTGTTCGTGCCTCGCTGTATCGTTGAACCTTCATCGGGTTTCGGCACTTGGCACTCAGCACTCGGAACTCGATGATCTGTGTAATGTAAATGAACAATGAACATTTTGCACACCCAGTTTTGAGTTTCGGGTTTTGCCACTTGAAACTCAGTGATTTGTGCAACAAGTGAAAATGGTAATGTTGCATACATATTTTCGGGTCTTGGGCTTCGGGTTTCGGCACTTGGCACTTGGTTATTTGTGTGATATAAATGAAAAATCAATATGTTGCACACTGGGTTTCAAGTTTCATGCTTTGGCACTCAAAACTTGGTGATTTGTGCAGTAAGTGAAAAATGGACATGTTGCGCACATATTTTCGGTGTAGGGATTCATTTCTGGCTGGGCTTGCAGAGACTGTTTTTACCTTAGTGTTATGTTTGCACTTTTGTAGCTTACATAATCAAGTTACCTTTTCACCAGTTCTACTATGAGTCTGAGTCTTCAGTAGTTTTTATGACATTTCCTCTCCTCTGAGCCTTGAGCCTGGTCCAGAAACCCTTTAGGGTCGAATAGCAGCTAGGTTCTGCAAGACCCAACATTGTTCAGACTCACCATCTGAATTGTTGTACCTTCAGCGGGCAGTGTCCTGTGCAGCATGATTCGCTCGGTTGAGATCAAACCATGCTTGTGTGAGTTTGTCGTGTTCCCACTTGCGCTTGCCCATAGTGAGTGACTAGTGTGCATAGTAATATTAGGGTATTAGTAGCAGTACTTGAGCATGTGTTTTGATCCGACTGGCCACTGGTTCTACTGGCAGGACTTTTAGTTATGTTCAACTTCCCTACTTCTTTTGAACCAAGACTATGTACCACCCAACCAAAATTCTTTCCAGAAAACCATCACTTATGGCTCGTCCAACCATTCACATTACTCCTGAGGCAAAATTAACTGCTGCTTGTGAAAAGTGCCGGTGCTATTATGCTAAGTATGTCACACCTTACATATATGAATTATCTCTGAGCATTCCTGACTCACTTGTCCCAAAAGCCACAGAGAACTTTGTAGCCCTAAGCATGACATGAAGGAATCACAAAATTTATTGAAAGCTATATCCAAAGTGTTGCATGGCTCTGCCAGTGATGAAGACTCTGAGTCTGAATCTGATAATGAGAATTCTGAGTCCAAGTCTGACACAGACATCAACCTGTATATTCTTGCTATATAAATATAAACATATGATATTCAATTCATATCTAACAGATTCAATCTTATGCAATGTTTGTTTGCTCTCAAGATTATCAAGGACAAGATGTTAATGGTAACAGATGATCCTTGTACCTTTGTCCAAGGTGTCTTTGCCGAGTACATTAAGACCCTGGATGACAGCATTAAAGGTGATGTCACGATCCTCAAAAAAGCAATGGCTATAATTGAAGGCTTGCTCAACCACGTAATTTCCATCCAGGATCAGATTCTATGTTTCTGTGGAATCACATATGACAAGTGGCAAGCCACTGACTTGGCATCCTGTTTCCTGAGGACTATTCTTGCATACCTAGAGAATATCTTAGGTCTTCTGACATTTGATGGAGCTGGGAACCTTGCAGTGGCTCACTCCATGGGAGAACTTATGTACCAGAAGGGCATCAAAATTTGACGAAGTTCTACACTAACGCTCATGTACATATATCAAATATGTTGATTGTTTTTTCTTTGGAAATATCAAATATCTGCACTGCATGATGCATGCACAGTCTGTGCTATGGCAGTAGGATAATGAGTTCAGGCTCTGATGCCGTAGTATTGCAAAACCTTATTTCCATTATTTCAGTCAAAAACCCATGTTACAACAAAAAACAGACCAATCATGTTAGTATGTTATTCCATCAGATGACACATCACTGATCAAGATATGCTGATGTCTATTAGATGGCAGGAACAGAATGGGTGACTGCTGAGCAAAAGGCATATTTGCAAGGCTCGTATAATGATTTCCTGAAAGCACAGGCTCAAGGGACTGTGTTGGCCTTCTGGCCAGGGGTTTATCTCACTTGGTTTTAAAAATGGCTAGAAATCAATTCAATGCTCCCAGACATATCAATGCATGCAGAGGAACAGAATAAATTATTGGAGGAAGCTGTAGACAAGAGACATCAGGTGCGAGTACTACCAAGCTCATATATATATCATATATTCAACATATATACTTAGCAAATCAGGACCTGGTTCAATTATAGATCACAATGTAGTGGATGCACCTCAGTCAACAAAATGACGAAATCTATTCATAAGATGATTGGAAACAAGGCAAAGGGGACCTGAATTCACAGCCCTGCAGAAATCTTTTCCAAATCAGGTTACACAACTGATGTCCAAGATCAGCTACAAGAGGCTCTTGTGTCAGGTTCTGTTATTGCAAAGGGTGATAGACTTAGAACCATAAAAAAACTTACAAGAGAGGCATACAAGGCAGCAAATCCTGAGATGAAAGCACTATGCTTGGCAAAAGTGCAGAAGGAATATGAGACAAAGGGTAGCAAACTGCTCAAGGCCAAGCCCAGAGCATGAGAAAGGACAAATTCGGAACTAGCTAAGTTTGTTGACCTCATTTACCTACCAGTACGAGAACTGTTGGCTTACAGTTACCAAATAGGGCTCTTGAAGAATGTACCAGCCTCATCACACACTTCTTGCAAGCTATCCATGAAATGACTGGCTTCTATTGGACTATTCTGGGCGCTGGACCTGACCCTCGATATAATGGTAATATCAATGTGATGAGGTGAATAGAATTTTATATTGCATATACTGCCTACTGACATGTCGACATTTTGAAGTTACCATACAGGAATCAATGAGTATGGGAAAAACTGGAAGCAAGCTACTCCTGATTTCGATGACAAGTACATCAAGCCATATGTTGCCTTCATTTCAAGTCTTTTTTTTGTAAGTTGCTATTCTCCTCTCTTCTGATGAAAATTTTTGGACTTACCCAACTTGAATCAAGCAGAACATGTCAGGAAGATGCATGCAATTGATTATGTCATAACCCCCTCATCAACTCTTGGAACTGACACCAACCTAGTGGCTGGGGAGTCGCAGTCTTCCAATACCAGCCAAAACCTTTCATCAAACTTGGTGTTGATATCTTCACCTTCCCATCTGCCGCCTATAGCTCATGCACCTATCTCTGCAGTTGAAAACATGCACCAGCCTCCTGCTAACACCTGGTATCTGACTCAGCATCTGGATGGGCTAATTTCCTTTGACAATGGATATGATTTTGGCACTTTGGGAGACTTCGGAATGTCAGACTTCAAGAATCCCTCTACCAGCATCATGAACACATCAGAGCCATCATCAAACCCGCTGACATGCACAAAACCTGTTTTGTACATGAACATGGCAAATATCTGGCTTATAATACCTTTCACAATAGCCTATGGTTCTACCCAGAATTTTCTATGCAGTGTCAGTATTTTATTTGAGTATTGTTGGGCTCAAATTTGCTCAGTACTACTTAACCATTTAAAATAATACTTATCCTTCTGAAAGATTGCCTTCAAACTTGTGATTTGTCAATTAGTCAGCAGTTTCTCACACCTCCTAGAATTTTATCACACATTTTCACATACATGGGTTTTTCATTTTGACGGTACTGAGAGGAAAGATTGAAAGATTTCATACTTCATTACATAATCAGTCTCATGTGACTTGGTGGCACATTATGACACCCATGCAAAGCTTCATCATAACAAATATGCAAGACCAACACTATGGTATTTAACAAGTTAACATCAGACTGTGAGAATCTCAACAAAGTTTGAACACAGCTTGAGAGTACAGCATTCAGGCAGTGCAGAGGCAGTGTACATAGCTTTGTATGGTGCACATCACTTAGTCACCGCTACTTTTGTGCAACATTTTTAGCACCTCGAGATTTCACCCAATTTCTTATCCCTCTGGGGAAAATGCTTGTTTTTGCCCAAGGAACAAAACCTCCAGATGGATTTCAATAATACTCAAATTTGAGAGTGTTTTTTTTTCTCCAAGGTCAATTTGGCGCATCCCTACAAAATGTGGCTATACATGATCAAAGACCCTCGCTACTGTTTCAGGAACTCGTCTGTGTGATTTATAGCATGTAGAGCTGAACACTCATTCTCCGCATCGTCGTCATCATGGACTGCTGGTTGAGCATCGTTGGGTTCTGCTGGGTGGTGTTTCTTGTGGCAAAAAGCTCAAGCATGTGCAACTGAAGTTTTTTTGGCTTTTCTGGCCATTGTGGATGGTCCTTGTAACGAGGAATAGCTGATATATTATTTACATTCACGATCACTAGGTACTCCATGCAATGCATAGCTGTAACTTGACCACAGCTACACTATTATCAAAGCTGCTCCTCCCACCCCAGCCTAATTTGGACTAGGGGTTAGGGTTGCAATTTTTTTGGCCTCAATTTGGCGCCTGCACAAAAGTAGCAGCGACTAAGTGATGTGCACCATAGCACAGGTTAGCATAGCCACAGAGCACAGCCACTAATGTTGATTTGAAAAGATTCTGGAATATTCTATTAGACAACACTGGAGTTTGGTGGAATAGTCTGGAAAATTCTATGACATTCTTTGAAACTTTAATAGTAGATTAGTAATCAGTAGCATAGCTACTAGTAGAGTAGTATATAAGGGGCCCATTTTTCCCTCTAATAAAGAGAGCTTCAAGCCAAGTACAGAGAGCCCATTTCCATATTATCTAAGCTTGAGTGTGAATAAGTGAGTGGAGAATAAGAAGAGTGTTCAGAGAGCTCTTTTTAAACTCTCACTTCTAAGATACTAAGTGACATACTGAGTGAAATATTAAGTTATTTCATTCCACTTTTTGACACTGTTTCCCACGACATACAGAAGCATATTTGAGGCCACCATTGAGCCATACTTTTGACACTAGCTGGTACATGGTTATCAGTCCTCTAGTGCAGATATATTCCAGTTCTCTTTTAGACACAGGAAATCTATTCTGTGGGGAGATATACATATTTTCATCAGCAAATAAGACTAACAGTCAGTCACTAATATTAATAACTTGGCCCACTTAAGTCTGTCCTGTGTCACACTCATCGTATAGTGCTTGAGCAGCAGAAAGTAGGTTTTGAAGCCACATGTTAGTTTGGGCTGATCTGTGTTAGAGGCTTAGTTTGATCTCCAATTGGTTTGTGAAGATAGGGAGTATTGTTATAGCTCTAAGAATCATTGCATAGTCATACATCTGTATTCGTTGAAGTCATAGCACTGCATCAAGCCAGTTATTGATTCTGTTTCCCCTTTAGTCACTGTGTACTTCCTTTGAGAACTCAACACACTTTTCCCACAAACAACCACGTTATCGACCATTGGTATTTGTCTGAACCGTTGACCATGGTAGGATACTGAAAATCGGTGATTTTACTGTTTTCACATCCTAGTAAGACACTGCCCACTTGTTTAGATTCACCATCAATTTCACCCATATTCACATGGAAGAGGGACATGCTTTATACTTCTCCTCCTCGCTTTCGTCCACGACTCTTAGCTGAAAACTTCGCATCTTTAACTTCCCCATCTGACATCATCAGAAGGTCTTCTCTGGCACTGTTCATCCCTCCACCTATGTTTACTCTTCCTCCACTCCCAGTCCCACCACCAGTGCCTGGTTCTTCGACATCAGCTCCTATTTCATCTCCAACACTGTTTGGGAATCTCTCCAGTCATACAGTTGCAGGTAACAACACTGTTGATGTGAGTGCCAATGGGTCCAGGATAGATACCTCAGTAGGTGTAGGAACACTTGGTGCTGTTGCAGCACTAGAAGCTATCTGAGTTGACTCAGGCAGGAATGTTACTACCTCTTCCAAACCCATAGTAAGTGAAGGTGATGAACCTCCCTCAGCATGTACAGAGAACCCTTCCACTAGTGGCAAGTGTGTTTAAAAGGTTCTCACAGACCCGAAAATACCCAGCAAATCAAACAGTACCCTGCCTATCAGGAAAACTGGATGTGTTCAAATGGAGACGACTTGATTCATGCAGGCAAACAGCATCAGCCAAAATCCCAAACGTCCAAGACCTACTGAGTCCCAGAACAAATGTCCTAAGAAAAGTAAGTGTCTTGTTTTCTCCACCTTTACCTTGGCTCATGCACCCATATACATAGGAAAGTAGCATAGTTGCACTGCCAAAGGTTGTTTCTTGCAAAACGAGTATATATACCTTGTTCTTTCTTGCATGCATGTCATAGATATTATTGTGACCTTCAAAATATATGTTTTTGTCATTGTTCGAGTTATTTATCACATAAGAAATTGTACATTAGTACATGTAAATGCAAAACAGACATGATATGTGTACTAAAACCACTGTAACAAATGCCAAAAGACTACACTATAGTCTATCACTTGAGGGACTTGGTAGAAATTATGCCCAGTCAAAAGACTTAGTGAAATGTCCTTCACAAGATCCGGATAGAGATCTAGCAAGGCTTAAATTAGGAAGAAGCTGGGAGGGAGGCCAGGAACAGGTACAAAGGAGTAGATTCACGATCGGGATAACCAAATTAAGGTGCAGATGATCCACAGGAGGTGCTCGACACCATTATGCATAAAAGCAACAGTATTTGGGGATTAGTGTGAGCCATGCATAATGACAATGTCTCTTACCATCCTTATTTATGCATAATTATGACAGCATTCGACCAACCATCACTAATCTGGCTGTGTTGCCAGCATACATATACCTTTTCTGTTTCCTCTTTACCCTTACCTACAGTACAGTAACCCAGCCCTCAACCCTTTCCACTTAGTATAAGTGGTCAGTCACCCTGTATTAGATTCTCTAACTTAAATCTACTCAATCTTCCCTAGGGAACTGCACAGGTAAACCTGTGGGTGTGCACAGTCGGACCTGTACCCATACCTGGAGATATACCCATACCCGTGGTGTGGGTACGGGTTTGCTTGCGAGTATCAGCCAAACGGACCTGGGGTATTACCCGTGAGGGGTATACCCGCAGGTCACTATGAAGAGCATTGTAATGAATTGTACTACTAGGATACTAACAACAAATGTAATACTAATCTACTTGGATTCTGTCCCAACCCTCATTCATTGCTTCCTCTTCACCAATGACATCTGGGAACTTAGACACATGAATGATATCCTCAGATTCAACCAGGCCTAACTCATTCCATAAGCCGACACAAAATAGTGCACGTGTTGACTGCACCAATAAACGATTTCTGACATGTGACAGGACAAGACACCTGCAACTGAAGAGACATTCAACATCTACAGAAGTAGCTATAGGCAATGTAAGCTTACAAGGCATTAAAAATAATAATGCCACATACCAGGGATAGTTAGATAATCAATGGCCATGCGCAACAGGTGGGGGAATGATTTGCGACATTCTTGCTACCAAGCGATAGTAGGTTTGGGGACTGCAAGTGCAGGGAGGTTGACAAAAATGTTGTCACTCTAAGATTGAGTCAGTACAAACACTAAGTAAAAAGCAAATAGAAAAATACCATCAATATATTACCATTTGACTCCAAGACATCCGCCTCATGCCCCAAATCAGAGTCGGCATCAAGGGACAGGTATGAACATTTGAATTCCTCACACACAAGTTGCTCCACAGTTTGGATCCAGTTGTCTTCCCAGTCTGCTGCCTTGAAGTATAATAGCTTGTGTTGGGGATGTAACACTAGTATAATAATATTAACTGTCAGTAGAAACTAGAAACAACCTAGATTGAATAGAACTTACCCATGGAGATCCAATATGTGTGAGACCTGTCTGTGAGCTGATAGTACTGGTTGAGTGTCTTTTTTGCAAGCCGAACTGCCAAATGAATTGAAGGCAGATATTTCTTGTTGCACAAATAGGACATGAGCATCTTGTCGATGTGATCCATTGCTGGTATCACTGTTGCAAGGTTAGGTGTTGCACGCGAGAAGTAAAGTGTGGCGTCCTTTAGAATATAACAAGAGCAAACAATATAACATAAGCACTACGCCCATTTTGACTGATACCTGCAGCGCAGGTACGGGTAGGGGTAGGGGTATCATGACCTCAGACCCATACCCATACCCCAGTGGTACCCATACCCATGACCCATGCGAGTTACCCGTACCTGTGCAGTTCCCTAATCTTCCCTGGAACATACTTCTCTCTGAAGCCTCTCAGCTTCAGTCTCTAGTATCTTTTCTTAAGAGCTCCTCGCACTTAAGTCTATCTCGATTGACACTCATTGTTCGGACAAGACTGTCCTTACCTTGAGCCTGGTGACTTCAAAGACATCTGTCTTATTAGTAGTCACGTGACATGCACATCTGTGATCACTGCTGACTCGATGTCACCAGTCTCACTCGCTATACCGGATCCTTCTGGTTATGTCACAAATGTTAGCGGATGGTGCCCCTCTTAGGGCACATGTTCTGAACACAAACCAGACCCTTGCAAACATGTTTGCAAGGGTCTGGTCCAGCATTTGCCCTGCTTGCCCAAACCAGACCTATGGTCCAGTTCAGGGTTTGCATTTAGAGGCCTAAGAACTGGACTGAACCAGACTTTGGCAGCACTAGGCCATGCATGAAGTTTGAATTATTCAAACTGGCATCAACTCACAAATCAGTGACCACATGGAGTACAAAGTCCAATCAAGTTATAGGAGTCCAACTTATCATAGGAAATCTACATTAGGAAAAACCTCCCATTTTAACTTAGACAAAATTTGAATAATTTGACCTAAGCTCTCTAATTTTTTAAAAATTGTATATAACTAGTGCAAAGTCACAAAAGTGTGTCTAGGGATTAGTGTGGGTAACTGTATCAAGAGCTCTACCCATCCTCAAACAGGTTTTGACGAGTTGCGCATGTATGCATTCAAACTAAACGAAAAACATGTACTAGTAACTACAAATTAATAATACCAACTGGCACAAGAGCTTGCAAGGGTCAACATGGATGATCTGCGCAGGGAGGATGGATGGAGAGGCGCCGACAAGGAAACAGGAAGGAGTGCCAGACCAGCACAAGTGAGCAGGACACAGGTATGGGAGGGGCTGACACTGCACACGGGTGGGAAGGATAGATCTAGATTCTATGAGATGTTAGTACATGTGCATAAATGAGAAACAAATGACTCACCAAATGACTCATCTCCATGATCGAGTAGCTCATCTGTGAACATACAGAAATAGGTGATGTGGCATGTGATAGTACAGTATAGAGCCTGCATCAGACTTGACAGTGCCACATCATAGGCACGATATAGTGAGCAACAAATTACAAGTCTAACATTTGCGCGTATTTGTCTTTGTTTGACTCATGTGACTTTTAGTTTTACATTCAACATTGAACCACGCCTCTTCTATGTCATCCAATCATTTGCCAACTTTGCTATGGAGGTCAAATCAATGACCCAAGCTGCTGCCTGCCATTTGCAATGAGTGAGACTATTGAGTCTGTCAATCCTCATTCGAGCAACAGCTATGCTCATCCAAGCCATTGCCCACCGTCCACAGTTGGTGAGTGTGTCGATCCTTGTTTGAGCAATGGCCATGCTGATCCAAGTCGTCGGCCACCATTCGCAGGACATGAGTGTGTCAATCTTTGTTCAAGCAACGGCCATGCTGATCCAAGTTGTCAGCCACCATTTGCAGTTGGTGAGTCTGTCGATCCTCATTCGAGCTCGAGCCACGCTGATCCAAGCTGTTGCCCACCGTTCACAGTGAGTGAGTGTCAATCCTCGTTTGAGCTCAAGCCATGCTGATCCAATCAAGTCACTGCTTACCTTTGCTTAGGATCTAACTGTACTGCTTCTGCTCTCCTCATCAACCACCACTACCATTACTTCATGAAGTTCAATGTGTGTCTCGCAACTCATATCATTGCCTTGTACTGACTTACTACTGATATATTTCAGGATGATAATGTGCCAAAACCAGTGCAGAACAGGCCCTACCTGGGTGATATGATGGTTCACCTCATGAAGGGCCATTACTTCAATGGACTGAAGTCAGTCAGTGTCATGTTTGGGAAAAGATTTTCTGATATTGCCAAGAATAAAGCCAAAAGGCCCGAGGTCACAATTCCAATGGTTGCTTTGACAGCCACTTCAGTAACATGTCCTGTTGCCATCAACACTAAGATATATTGACAATGACTATATAGGTGTATGCAGCATTCTTCTGGAAGGCACATGGCACTCCAGCCAAGTTTAACTTCACTGGAAATCAATTTAGCAAGGTCTATTTCTTCCATGTCAAATTTCTAAAAGATCTCAGTGCAAAATCACCTGAGAAATTCCACAAGCTGATGGCTGATATCTTCACTGCAATACAGTATGTCCAATCTTGTTCTCTCGTAAATCTTAAATTCACTTGAGTCTTTTGCAAGGGATCTCATGCAGTACAATAATTCCACCACTGATGCAGAAGCTGATGCGATTGCATTCCTCGGCCTCGATGGGATGGATGAGGACTAAATCTCCTTAGTATTGTCTCTTGAAATTGTTATATACTTGCTCTTGACTATTGCATTCTTCTTAATGAAAATTAATTTCTTTCTTGTATACGAGTCGGTTCTAGTAACCAATAATAAATCTGAAAGCACGGAAAATCTTGACAACATTAATGTTAAGTTCTGCATAATCTGCAAAAACATCGTCTAATTTTGAAAAAGTTAAAGGGGGGTAGAAGAGTCTTAATAATCTGCTAAACACTATATTTAGGAAGAATTTTCGGTAATTATTGAAGTTAGATCTAAACTTAGCTAAGTTTGTGCAGGAGGTTTTCCCTGATGTACTGTACATGACTCAAGTGTCTCTTAAAGATCAATATAGTAAGAGTCATCCCCCGATACAATTCAGTTAACAAAAACCAAACTAAAGAAAGCTCAGGCTTATGACGAGTAAATGTCCATCCAACATAGGGTCAATAACCCAAAGCCCCATAATCTGAAGCCGAAAAAAGGAAGATCAATACAAATACCTGAAGCCCTTCCTTCTTTTCACAGCCTCCTCGAATGTAATCCCTTCCAATCTAGCAGCTTCTTCAATACGTTCGCGGCCAGGACCCTCGATTAGTTTCTTCTCCTCCATAGCCATGTTCTTATTCTCTTTGATTAATATCCACCGCATTACTATCGATAGGTGAGTACATCAGAGCGGTCATATTGGGATTTTGCTCACGGAAGCTCAGGGCTGAGGACAAAACGAGACTGCACAATGCTATAATCATGGATTGATGGTATTGAGGACCCCACGAAGCATTCCAGATATACGAGCCAATCCTGTGAAATCTTGTAAGCAATTCAGCATTACACTGGTCATAGAGGCCTCACAAATTACCGAGGTTTCCAAACCCATTGACAAGACCAAGAGCTGCGGCGCGTTTTGCCGGTGGACGAGGAATGGCGTTTGCAACCCAGGTCAATGTCAACGCAAATCCTTTGGAAAACGTGTCAAGCTTGCGTTCAGAGTTCTAATAAGAACTTACCACAATATCCAGAGGTCATGAGGAACAAGGAAAAGTATCGCCCGCCCGTAGCCATGGTGCATAGAGAGATGATATATCCAACCATGGCCACCCACCACCAGCCAGTAATATGGAAGAATCGCTCTCCAGACCTATCTATTCATTCTGTCAAAATGACTGATGCACTATCAGGAAACAGACGTACCTGCATGCCATGCATTGAGTAAGCAGCAGACTGACGTGAATATCCATGGAGGACTAGCGATCAGACGACAGTCAGCCATAACTGTGAATGTAACAACGGGATGTCATGCTTACGACGCCATCAAAAGTGTGACAGTAGTGCTGAAACCAAGCGTGGCAGTCAAGCTATCCCGCTTATGTTAGCGCAAAGTTGCAAGACTGTCAATATACTTACGTGGGGAAAAAGTTGGTAAAACTCAGACCTAGAAGTTGCGTGCAGGTCATGAACATGAAAATGATGGTCTTTGGATCCTTGATGGCCAGCAAAAAGCCATCGTAAATACTGTGACGTTCCGATTGATGTGCCAATTAACAAAGGTGATGTGGAGTAGTGCCTTGTCAGTAAAAAAAATAGAACTCGAGCTAGAACTTACGTAAGGTTATCGGAATCCTTGTCTGCCTCCCCTGCATCTTCTGCGAGGCGAACTTGACTCAAGTGGCGTTCCGCTGCGTTAAGCCATCGAGTGTTATGGGGCTACAACATGACATGTCAGACCCGCAGAAACTTATTCTAAAAATATTCTGCTTACAAAATCCGGAAGAAGCCACCTGGACAAAAACCGTGACCGTCAACTTTGAGTGAAAATAGAAACTCTCACAAACGCACATGGTCAAGAGGCCAAAGGCCATGGTGATGGCGCCCTACGCCAAGAAAGGGGTTTATCAGCACAGAAGGTACAGGGGTAATGTAACATATACCTCTATGTAGAACAACCTGCGATACGAAACTCCGGTTAGGGCACTATTCTTGAGAATAGGAATTTTGACTTACCATCTCCAGGCCGAAAGTCCCAGTACGCCTTGCATTTTTGCGAGAATTCCAGCTGCAATTGACTAAAAAGGATCGTTATCAGCTGCCATAGTCCACTGCGACGGCAGCAAGCTCACGTTTCCAAATGCATTCGAGATTAAAGAGCCAAAATAAAACGAAGCTGACCGCATGGCAAGTTCCTGAACGTGTTGCGTGAGCATGAGTGGCGACTTATGATTCTAAAAAACATGATGTTCACCTTCCTGGTATACCATCGCGAAAGCAGATACATGACACCAGGATAGAACGCAGCCTGTGGAAAGCCGCACTCGTTCAGCCCGAACATCATTATCAAAAAGGATTTTTTTTACTTCAGGAACACCAATGAATACACGACAAGCCATCATGCCTGAAAAATTAGTTGTGACCTGCGCGGCGGTTAGCAAGCACGAGTTGCAGTTGCAAATTCCCAACAAAACTTACCCCAGTCAAAGCACTGGTAAGGCCCCATCCAACAACGCAGGCTCCAATATAAATTGATGGTCTGAGTCGCGTCTACTTAGTGTATCAAAATATTTTGAATCACGACTAACCGTGAAATATAGCCCAAAATCTGTTGACAATCAAGAATCAATTTTGCATCTATAAACAATAGCACACAAACAAACCATATTCGAAGGTATCTGGTCGCAGGTAAGATGTTGTGAGTAAGATCGCGTGTGTTTGTGCAGGAAATTTGCTCACTTGCATCGGGCAATAAGTGGCATAAAGAATAGCTATAATAGTTTCATACTGAACGGCTAGTGAATCGATTAAGCATGGATACTACGGTGGGTGGTCCACTTCACTCACTTGTCAACCCGAGATCTTGCTCTAAACCTTGCAGCCGCGCAGCAGTAACAGCAACACGCTATGCATAGTACACGTGAGCAGGCTGAGGTTCATAAATGCATGTTTACATACATCAATGTAGTTCAAGAGGTATATGACCGCAGCAGTGGGTATCAGCCGGCGGTCCAATTTGCGCACCAGTGCTCGTTCTCCCGCCTTCCTGGCGTCCGCAGTCAATAGCCTGAAGTCATCATCGTCATTCGACACTGCGACTACATTTTCTGTAAAGGCATCAGACTTCTTCTCTTCCTGGATGGACATGTGAGGCAAAGGAGATCAACGAAACGCTACGCCACCTTAATGCAGTAATCCAGCCGCTCAAACGGATATCTTTTATACCAGTGAAGGCGTTATCGCAATGCCTATAATGTACTCAGTAACCCCACTCAGTCCAAAAGTGGAAGTGAAATCACCTGCCAGAGGGGAGTATATCTTGGCGAACACGTCCTGTAAATAGGTCCTATTAATTAGGGCCCTTGCGCATTGGCCTTCACCAGTGGCTGCGCTCCAATTCTTCACTGGGAATCCTGGACTGCCAGGAGCGTCCGCCTGGTACGTTCACCCCGGTCAACTGTGGGTCCTTTAGTCCTAGATTTTTCCGCTGACCCACAGGCTGTCATACACTAAAAAAGTAGCTCATCATCTGACACCACTGAAGTAGAGTATCACACAAAAGCGCGCAAACAAAACGCAGCGAACCGACCCAAGCGGGTTTGAACGTGTAAAGCAATATTATGTAATCTTTAGATACATATTTGTGAGGGACGATCTTTGACTTACCACTTATTTTTTTCATGCTTATATACGGAATCTTTCAAGTCAGGTCGATCGTGTATGGTGATCAGTCCACAATTTTGCACATTTTCCTTTACTCTCACGATCGTGCTTGCAGTCTTGGCGAAAAGCGATCGGAGTTGTCGCGTGCACACTCTGAAAGGAGGTGGAGGAAACTGTGAGCCCGCTGGCGGCGGCGCTGGCTTGTTCCCGTCCGCGATACTGAAGTATGAGCTTTCGGACTGTCGTTCCTTAACTGCTACGCCAAGAGGCAGTACTCACACTTCAGTATCGTGGACAGTATCTATATAGATCATGAGAACGCTAGCAAGCCAGCGGGCATGGATAAAATCGTATGGAGGATGAATAAAAAGTTCTCAGTCAGACGAATTACATAATGACCGCATGGCGGCAACGCACCCCAAAGCTTGTCCGAGTCACGGCCGACGGTTAGCATCATGTTAATACTTACGGCAAGGCCTCAATTGCAAGGCATGGAAAAAACGGCGGGGAATGAATTGAAGTGGGCCAGGATGTTCTATTATCCGAGCTGACCAGCAGGATGACTAATGATCCCGGAGTCACCAGACTATCACTTAGGCTTCGACCCAGGATCGGCTGCCGCTCATCGAGATGTTGTTGTTAGACACTACACCAACAATGGTATCGCCATCATTGGATTCAAGTTAGGTTAGTGAGAACAAATAGTATTGATAGCACTTTGCTGACACGTTACCGTGAGTCACACATTTCTAGATGGCAATTGGGCGTCTTGTGCAGAACCATTCAACCAACCATGTCACACCATGTGGCTGCAATATTGTGGCATAGCCGCGGCCCTTCCATGCAAATGATATCGACTGCTGCAATTTTGGGAACCTCTCGAAACTCAAGTCCTGTTGTCCAGTGGCACCTGACGTTCAGAACCCCGTTCACTTACTGAATATCGAGCGCGTACTAGCCTTGTACAATGCATATCGAACATGGCACTGCAGCAGCGGTAGACCATTTGGGATTCCAGGGTTCTGATGATCAAATTCCCAGGAGAATTAGAGACAATTCATCGCACGTTGATTTCTCGGGCGTACGCTAAGGAAATCTACAGATCTCATGTCCGGCAGCCTGATAGGGATAGACACTGCGAAGGTCTGCTTCGTTAATTTATGATAAGCCATGGAGCGTGTGGAACTAATCCGACTAGGTGATTGGGGTAGGCCACCTCCTGGGAGCATCAGAAACTTTCGGGCCTCTAGCCGTCTTCTTGCTAGAAGGAAATATCAAAAGAGGGAAGGCTTTAAGAAGTCAAGCTTTCAGTTCCTCTCCTGTGGAAAAAAAATATAAAAGCTTGCAAATTGTTTGCTCAGCCCTTCCATCACCTTCTTCACTATTTCGCAAACCCCTTACAAATACTACGACGATGGCCAACAAGGCAAAACTTGAGGCACTCCTGACTTTGATCAACACATCCGCACGAGATGCCATTGCGTTGTATGAGCAGTACGGTGACGTACCTACCATCGACCAGGCCGAACCCCACCCATTGGACAATGCGGTCGACCAGGTGGCTTTGAAGAGTGCTATTCGTACTCTTGAAGGTGCTTGTGCTCAGATATGCGCGACACTTGCTCCACCTGCCCATACTGCAGTTAACGTGAGAACTGGGATGATATAATGCACTCTACTTTTGCTCATCAGATTGCACGCAGCTTGTCCAAGTGTATGATCCTGCTTGCGTGCGAGTAGTTGCTCGGGAACATGTTTCGGATATTCTGTTGAAGTACCCTAAGGGTCTTCACGTCAATGAGCTCTCCAAAAAAATCAATGTCGAGCCAAAGAAACTGGCCAGGATACTGCGCCTCCTAGCCACGAGAGGTTGCTACAGTGAAGGTAAGGAGCCATTTGTTGTATGGTTTGATTTCTTCTCACGCTCCACCAGTTGAGACGGACGTTTTTGCCAACAACCGACTGTCTCTGATCCTACTCGACGAGAACCCTGTCAAAAACATAATCTTGTTCCACGTGGAAGCAACTGCCAAGGGAGCATCAGTTTTCTATGAAACACTCAAAGATCCCAAAATTGCCTACTCGTATGATCCGACGATCGCACCTGCGATGTATGCCATTAACAAAAATGGAACCGAAGGAACGATCTTCGACTGGATGGCACGGAATGTATGTTTTCAAATATTGCTCGTCAGAAAGCCTTGCTCATATAATTTACTCGTAGGACGGCCTACGCGAGGTAGGGATTTTGGTCTCTTAGCATAATCATTCTGACATCTTCATAGTCCTATCATGTCTCGATGAGAGCTCTGAACAGCATTATGGGCTCCCTCGCCGTCCTGACCCGTAAGTATTTGAGCACGTAAAGATAGGAGAGTTTTGCGCTAACCTGATAATAGAATTCCCATTCGAAAAGTACTCAACAGTTGTTGATGTTGGAGGAGGTATCGGAGCATTTTCCCTACCTTTGTCTAAAATGCACAAAAACGTCAAAATCACAATCCACGATCTTCCGGAAGCACTGGTCCAGGCGAGAGGCGTAAGTCAGCAGGACAATGCGCTTGTCACCAAATTGATGGGATCTAGATCTGGGCGAAAGAAAGCCCTGAAGCCGTGGCAGAAAACAGAGTCGACTTCGTGGACTTGAATTTCTTCGAACAAGTGCCTGTGAAAGGCAAGGACATCTACTATGTAAGTGCTAAACTTTGCAGGCGACAATCTGCGAAGTTAACAGTGACCTCAGCTCAGAAATATCATCCACGACTGGCCTGACCACGAATCTGGGCTCATTCTTTCAAACCTTCGCAAGGCGCTCGGTCCAAACAGCCGCGTGCTCATCCGTATGTCAAATATAGCGTAATCATCGTCCCGCAGTCTGACAAGTTTTAGATGACTACGTGCTCCGCCAGCTGAGCCGCAAGCAGGCAGCAGTAGAAGCTTCAGAGCTTGGAGTTGTTTCGGTATGTCAGTTCTGCTGATTTACATACAGCTTTGTTCATCCCCGCACCTAGGCCCCTGAACCTCTCCTTGCAAACTTTGGTGTTGGAAGCATACGTTCATACCAGCAAGACTTGAATATGTTGTTCTTACACAACGCAAAGGAACGAACATTACAAGACTTCCTCGCACTCACGTGAGTAACTTTCGACTGCTGCCTTGGTTTCACCTGATGGGTTCGGAATAGCACTGTGGCTGGTTTGAAACTGGAGAAAGTCTGGGACCTTGCCGAAGCATGCGTCTTGGAGTATTCTGCCGCATAAGTTTCTCGAGCTGATTCGATGTGTTCATCCACATAAGCATGGAGAAGATCGGAGACCTTACTGAAGCATGCCATATTGGAGCTTTCCGCTCACATGTTCCAAAACCTCTGGCTTACGTGTTCATCCACGTAAGCAATGCCTGCACGTGTTCCTACACGACATGAGATTTGTGGGTTTTGCGACGAGCCTGGAATCTAATTACTGGGATGCGTGTCAGATAAAATAAACTTTTGCGTTTCCAAGATAGCTTCGATGTGATATAATTACAGTGTGGCAATCCACAGCTTCTCAACGAGTTTCCACACTTTAAGAACGCCAGTACCGATGCTGAACGAAGTCACAGCATCATTAGCAATGAGAAGTACAAGACGTGAGAATACCTACTTTGCATCCTCTACTTGGGTGAGCGGTACCCACTGAGCATTCAATGTCTGCGGAATTGTATCAAGCTCCACCTCGGATACCTCGGATCCTTTTTGCTTTCCCTTGAGGTTCTTGGCGCGACTACGATTTTCCCTAGCGCCTTGATTTGCTGAAACAGCTGGGCGAAGTTGTGGAAGCTCGTCTCCCTCCAGTAGTACCCACTGAACACGATAGGTCTTCTTGATGTGCGAAAATACATGGACTACATCACCCGCGGACGTCACTTGTATTACTTTTGGAACGTTATCTGATGAGTTAGAATTCGGTAATGTCTTCAAGCGCTTCTTGTCGCTGTTCGAGGATGGTGGGTGCATGAGTAGTTCCTGAAGGAGTGTGTATGGTATCTTGGCCAAATTGGATGCGGAAGCCTTTGTTCCTGATAAATTAGGTAGTGTAGGAAATTCGTGTAAACCGGCTAAAAGTCCTGTGTCCACACAGTCAGGAGGTATATCTCGGCTGAGCGTTTACTCACCCCCTTGGGGTCGGCGGACCAACAAAAACCAGCGATCTCGACTGTTCCTGTTTCGCCACTCAATGACATTCACAGAATCAAGTTCTTCTCGGGGCTTTTTACGCTCAGCTTTCATTGGATATATAGTCACGGATCCGTTGTCTTCATCAGATGGTATAGGATCGCAAACGATGCAGAGTTCCTCGATATCAGCTTCTACAGCACCTGTATGCGATGCCTGTGCAATGAAGTCATTAGGAGGTGATCAGAACCCTTAAAATAGAAAGCTAACTGTGGGTTGTGTCCTCTGATATGCCTTACACCATAGACGCAGGGGGCAATCCGAACACACAGGATCTCGTACTGCACAGACAGTACTTCCTAATTCTATCAAAGCTTGATTTATGTCACCTGGGCGCTTTGACTGTTTTATGAATGATTCGGCGCCTGCCCATAGAACATCTAGGGTTCGTTTGGATTTGGGCTGTGCATGCAATGCTGTAAAACGACTAAGGAGTCGGTGTACATTGCCATCAAGCTGAGAACCATTGAGACACTGCAGTAAGGTGGTTCTGGATAAAAATAGCCTACCACAGGTACACAGTGATTATATGCAATAGAAGATATTGCGCCTGCACTGTATCTACCTACACCTGGTATCTTTGCTTCCATATCTTTTGCGTTATCGGGTAAGCGACCATGTAATTCTTTGACAGCTTTCTGGGCACCACTCAGTAGGCGAGCCGCACGCGAATAGTAGCCCAGCCCCTTCCACAACGAGTTGACGGTCTCAATATCAGATGCCGCGAGGTCCCTTATAGTAGGGAATCTAGATGAATTAGGCCAGATAATCCAGAAAACTGAATTTAGCGACGTACTTCGCCATCCACTTATTATAATATGGTATTACTGTCACGACTTGGGTCTGCTGTAACATAATTTCCGAGATCCAGACCTAAGAATCTGCCTGAGTCAACTCTGAGCAGCTTTTGGAAGCTTAAAGATAGATGATTACCTCGTATGCTCTTTGCGCACGTCCCTCAGCGTCGAGCGAAGGGTCAAACTTCTTGCGCCAGGGCATTTTTCGAGCGTCATGGACTCTGTCGTACCATTCCAGGAGAGCGATTCGCATCGGCTCGACAGCGCTTATGACATGCATGGACACTGGATGACCTAAAATACCGCTGACCACGGTAGAGCCATCATTCTCGTGAATCTTCTTACGCGCCTTCCTAGTCTTCTGTGTCACCTTAGTACGCGATGTTTCGTCGTAGGAACTGTCAGAGTTGTGAGCATGATCATCTTCCGATTCAGAGGCTGGACGTTGTGCGCGTTTTCGTTTGGGCATCAGCAAAAGTGTTCAGTGAGTACACACTGCAAAGTGACTGCCAGTCCCGGGCCAGTCCATTTCAAACTCAGACTAGGCTAGGCCTCCTAAGGCATAATTACGAAGAGCTCAATTCTGACACAGTTTGACAACATTGGTGAATCAAAAAGTATGGAAGATGAAATCAATAAGTCCTATTATCGAGCAAGAGGTATGAATAATTGTACACTCTTTATTGAGACTTCTAAATTAGCCTTGTCTGTCCGCCAGGAAGGAAACTGCGTCGCCTTCGTGCACGTTCAAGCGGTGGCAGGTCATCTTCATCTTTGGCAGACCTGATGCTTGTATCTGCATCTTTTGCTGAAAGATACAGCGGGTGAGTAACCGAGTACAAAGGAAATACTAAGTAATGTACCTGGTGAGCTACTGTCATTATCTGGTTGTTGCTGTCCCTCATTGTCATCAGCTTCCGACGAGAGGTTGGCTGGAATGAAATTTGACCCAGCAGCAGCGGGTGACATATGCCTCGGAAGCATAGAACGTCGCTTCTGTGAAATAGAACGACGTGAGAGCATGAAGCGCGGCCTCGGACGCTGCATACCTTGTTGGTGCCCGCAACGTTGACCATTTCTAAATCAACTTTGAACTTTGCCTCATCTACCCTAGATCTTTGTTCAACGCACTCCACCACCCATGCGATGCCAACGACGAGTGGTTTGGGGTCATTCAGAAGTCTGACGCACGATCAGTAGGGTTGTAGATGATGTTGATAAGAAACAGCTGACCGATATCGCGTCAGCGTGCTAGCTGAACCATTCTTATACACAATGTGGGTGCAGCTCTGCCCAACACGAGCAAGTATCTAGAGGGAGACAATCATTGAAAATCAAACGAGTGGCATCATATTGCGACTTACTCTGGCGCCGAGCCCTCTCAGCATGTCGACGAACAGGCTCCCCGCATCATCACCGTCATCCGTCCGCACATCCACAAATATTGCACACTTTTTCAACACTTTCAAAACGCTCTTACCTGCGCTTCCACCTTCCATAGGACTAGCGGCGGCGTCGCTCTTTGAAGGTGCGTTCCGCTGCGAAGCTGCTCCATCCGTAACTTCGTTAGGCTTTCCTCTGTCCTTCGCATCCTGGGCGGATTTGAAGCCTGAGCTTGCACCCGATGCGCCATAATATGTACTACTCGATGACCGAAGCCCTGTACGTGTGCCTAGTGCAACTAGCTTAGGCGGAGTTTTCGGAAGAGAAGAGAGTGATTGCGATAAAGCATGCAATGCGCTTGATGCACGGCGCGAGTCCCACCCTTCGGGTTGCTTCCCTTTGTCGGCTGAGCCTACTAGTTCTTCAATCACGAGGTCAGCCACCTTATTCTGTTCTTCGGATGGTTTACTGCCAGGCAGTAATGGGGTTGCCACATCGGGTTGCTTCCCCTGCCCGAGATCCTCTTTCGCACCCGAAACATCGACGGTCGCATTGGCAATATAATTATCGGCAACTGTACCTCCACCTCCACCTTTCACTGGGCTAGCCATGACACTTGGTAGGCTTGTCTTTCGACTGGCCTTCAGAGATGGCTTCACAAGACCTGGACCGAAGATGCCAGTTGCGGTACGCCCAAGTGCTCCGCTCTTGTCCTTCATCCGCTTCATCATGCTGACTCGGCTAGAACCAGAGATAGTAGCATGACGTTTTAGCGAAGATGCCGTTGGTCTCGCAAAGGTTCCCGACGAGCCAGTAAGAACACTATCGTCCTTGACCACTGAATGAACGGCTCCTGTGTGTTCGTCTTTGTCTGAACTGACATTGAAGCCCAAACTCGTATTCGGCCGACTTGGTGGAGGCATCGCAAGCTTCTCCAGAGCTGTTGACAGTGTGAATAGCGAAGACTTGGGTTTCGATGGAGCAAAAATGCTGGAACCACCAATAGGTGGCCTTTTTACTGGGGAGGTTCCCCCGCGTTGCTTAATCGGAGACGCTGGAAGTGGAATCCTAGAGGGAGATGGAGGTGGTCGTTGCACACAGATGGATGACGATGAAACAGTTGTAGACGATGAAGGTGCAGGTTTGGCCTTCATGAAAGAGGCGAGCGATGTTTGTTTAAATTTTGCGGGGTCTGGGAATAATTGTCAGAAAGGATACGATAATGATGCGCTCGACTTTACCCTTGGAAGTAGAGGCCTGAGATGATGATGTCACACTGGCAGGCTCATCGTCTGTATTCAATGAGATATTTACAGTGCTGGCTTCGGGCGGTGGGTCGCTTTCATCCCAGCTCTCAGGCCTCTTCTCTTTCATTGATATGCTGCGTGTCACGCGACGAGGACCAGAAGATGGAAGTATGGCCTTCTTGCCTTTCGATAAGTTTCCGATAGGCTTTGAGCGCGCGGTATGGGAACTTCCAATGGTTGCCGAGCGTCCCCGTTTCACTGGCACAGGCGGGGGAGGCATAAGCGATGAGGTGGACGTGGATGGACGTGGAAGACGAGAGGGAGCTGCTGAGGAGGTTGAAGATCCTGCAACATTCAGTGACGAAGTGTTATCCACGACATCTTGAGATTGTTTGGATTTCTTCTATCAAACGAGGGTGTTAGTTCTCTATAAGGCACTCAACACCCAATGTCAAGCGCACCTCAGCAGTAGCAGCAGCAGCAAAAAGACTTGGTACGGCGGGGCGGCGACCTATGAATGAAGTAGGCGGCAGAGGCGTAAGAGGAGAAAGAGACATATGCGAAGGATATGCGGTCAAATTTCGTGGTGTCGCAGACTCAACATGAACAATCGAGTTGGTTTTATCAGGAAGCTTGAGGTCGAATTTCGGTACGTTTGTGAAGTGGGACATAGCGGACGCGGTATCAACATCCATTGCGTGCTCCGTGTTGGGAGCACCCTCATCGGTGGTAGAGAGTGGTGTGAGCGGAGAGGTCTGGGCCACCTCTGTAGGTGGAGGGACAGGCGTGATCTTCAGTTGATTGTGCACTTTCCGAGGTGAACGCATCGGAGAAAGGGTTCGAAGGTCGAGTTCTGGAACATGATCTGTAGGAAGCGGAACAGAGCGTGCACGCCCAGAAAAAATGGGGCATGACTTGACCTTGCCGTTCGTAGCATGGCATGCTGATTCAGTGGCAGCGCGGACAATCGGTTCTGCCATTTTCCTGGGAGATCGTGATGTCGGTTCACGGTTCTCTACAGAGTGACCCATTGACAACAAGCTCAACGCCGGTAATGGATCTATTTTGATACGCTTTGCTTCACGATGACTTGCGGGACTGAGCAGGTCTTGATGACATGTATCGGACGACCGTTTGTTCTTCTTCGGCGACAACAGTATTTCGTCGTTCTCGTTCTCGTCTTCCTCCTCTTCAACATCCATATATCCATCGCCCTCCTTATGTTCGTTTGGTTCTGAATGTAACCCGTTCTTCGAGGTAACTCTAGCGTGCTTGAGAGGAGAACGCGCGAGGGGTAGCCTCAGGACATGATCAGGTACGGCTAGTTGGGATCGTGTTCTCTTGGAGGTTTCGACAGACATGTACGTGTCACCGTAGAACGAAATTGCGTGCTAGCTGTCTAATGCGGTGAGCTGAAGCGCTGTGAGCGTCAGTGCCGCGTCACGGACGATTGTCCGTTGATAAGTTAAACGTCTGAGATTGACACTGACCAGTGACAGGTAACGTGTTGAGGCACGTGACAAGGTTCACGCCGCACAGTGGCCCGGCCATGTGCATGGCTTATGGCTTCCCAAAAGCCACAGTTCACAGTGCACATGTCCATGTCAAGTTGTAATTGCCTGGTATAGTTGTTTCATCCTACGCGATGTTCACGTCGATTCCAGAATGTTTGGTGAGACGTCTTTGTTCACAGCCACTCGCCCCTCCTAGTAATGCTTAATAATGCCGCATGGCGCCGTTACTCCGAGTCATGACCATTGAATAGTGAGTCTTAATAATAAAAAAGTCAGCTAACTGGACAGCTCTCAATGCATACTTCCCAGAATACACGCGCAAATTATGCCATGGATTGATAACTCTCAGATAAGAGTCCTTGAGTCACATCGCTTCTGACTCGGACTCATGTAGGAAATTTTACAATGCGCAGCGAGATGCGGTCACACTCGGCCTTTCCTGGTAAGTCGTGTGCGCCCACCCTAGACTATCCCTCCAGACTAATCATTTTAAAATGGAAAACTGCGCATGTGGCCCGGAGTGCAGACAAACTCAATTCAAACCACTGCCATTTCGTTTGATCCATATAGATTTTATAGGTGGTTCTCATACTACACAGCTCTTTCAGTCACCGCCTTGGATGTTTTTACTCCATACGCCGAGAAATTTGTTATGGTTTCTTGTGGTGTTATGCTGACCTATTGTTTCGTCAGTAACACTTTGATTTGTTATTGAGTTGATGCTGCCTGCACTATCTGTACAGCATATGTGCCGAGAGTATGTTTACCCAAGTCGGTCTCTCTTATAAAACATTTTTGTCAGACGTTGATTCACGAGTACCATTGCTACGGCACCTTTTGGTGAATCTGGTCTTCCGATCTTCCTCGAGCTCTTTGGAAGAACCGAACCACTGACATCTGCACAGGAATTCTTCAAGTGTCGGAAGCTTCCATACTAGATGGTCCCACGAGTCCGTGTGTCCCAAGAGTCCGCGCATTGACTCTAGCACACGCAATTCTGCACAGAATCCTTATCCATGATAGATCTGGATTCGCCCAAACATAATACACACTGCCATATATTTTTTTTGAAGAAAATCGAAGTAGATCTTGTTCCATGGGCAACTTATCAGTGCGAGAGGCATAGAAGGCTCACTCTAAAGGTCAGATCTCCACATATAATTCTGGAATATTGTGAGATGGTTATATACATGATTAGAGAATACTAAAACAAATTTATTCGGGGCACATGCTTGTCAGGATCATCTGCGATAAAGAAATAAGCCCCAGACGTGACAATCTGCCCAAAGCGTTACATAGAGACTGTGTAATCAAAACTCCGCAATGCCGAAATGCTTTACACATGCACAACTTCACAACATTTATAACGGTGCGAATTCTGCGGAGCGTGAAAAGGCATTGCGGCAGACGTGTGACATAGTGTGACGAAGTGCGCGAACTCTAGGGAAAATGCACTTTTCTGCGCGGTAACTCTCCGCTGGACTCAACACGTCAATTTTCGAAAAAGAAACTAGCAGACGTTGTACTTTCGATGTCACGCTATCGAACTGTCAAATAATTAATTTTGTTTGTTTGTGCGATGTGGAGTAATAACCGTTTTGCCAAAAAGGCGCGAACTCCCGTGGACATCTAGTAACTTTCAACGTCAATTAACTGTTGACGAATCATCTTGTGCGTAGCCTCTGGACCCAAGTACGTTCTTATCGTTATTTTAACCTGTGTCCACCTATTGATTGCTTGCGTATCTGGTATAGCATGGCGCGTCAGTTCCCCATTGCAAGTTCAATTTCAGCGGATCTGAACTTCCATTTCATTCAATTGCCTCAATCCTAATGGGTGTATTGTATAAATCACGCATAGCCCCCACGGTCCGCTGACAAATGCCTGATGACTCGAGAAACTGTCACTTCATTAGATTCGTTTGGAACTATCATCCCAGCATCTGCAGGGGAGCGAGCCTTCATTGTTGTCATTTGATACGATAAGGTTTGTCTGCGTCGTACCTGGTTACGATGCAAGAATTCTGCTAGACTCTTCCGCACCATTGCTAGCTTCTGTCTGCGTCGATGCTGTAGCCAAGCTCGTCACCCCAAAATCACCACTCACTTGTATCTCATATCTACCTTGACAATCACTGCGCCGCAGCATGATTGTCCTGGAAAAAACCGGGCAGGCATGGAAATTTCCAGTGCAAGACAGCGCCACCGGTATTGCTTATATCCTTTGCTGAATATACTGATATTCTGTCAAGGGTCAACTAATGCCATTCATCCGCCAAGATCAAACAACCCATTTGCATCCCATATTAACGCGATTGGTCACTGATTAACTGCGCTCCTTCAGATTGCTGGAACCAGCGATTAAACCTACTTGGTGTGTGGCACTGACTCCTATTGGAGCTTGGCTGGAAGTAATTCATCAAGAGTAAATTCAAATATCAACCGCATAGTTCATGTTACTTGCGGCCCGCAGCTCTGGTGAACCAACCTAACCTGTTCACGTGTGCTTTTGCGCGCATATGAATTTATTGACAGTATCAAGAGCACTGCAATTTAATGGTAGTATCTTCAAATAAGAGGCGAGTAGTACGCGCGACACGAGTGAGCTAGCAGGACAATTGTATCTACTACTTCGTTAGTGTAAAGTAAGGTGCAAAATAATATGGTGCTTACATCTTAGTCTTGAGAAAGAACTGAGATGTTCGAACGTTCTGGAGCTTTCAAATGGTTAAGTTAAAAGTAAACATAGTGGAATTGAGACATGGTATCATTCATGCGTTGCCCCGTCATTTGCTTTTTGTGCTCGTATCTAACTTGATCTTCCCGACGCCCCTCGTGCCTCGTACTCTCCTGCTTCCAACACGGTAGACTGTATATCAATGGAAATGCAGTCTCATCATATTTTGCCAAAATCTGGCACGTAATCAGTGAGCTCAGCATATCTTGAGTTGCCTTTTTTGTCGCCTCATCCGCAGTGCCACATCATGGACTTGTTATGGGCGTTCATGGCCTCACCACCTATCTGCGAGAGAATCAGCGAATTCTCGCCAAAGCCGTCGAATTTCCCTCGAGCTCGACCGACGTGACTTCTATCGTGGTCGATGGTTGGTCGTGAGTATATGAAGATGTCGTCGATTGCTTGGTAATGACCCTACATCCTTCAGGTTCATCTATGAGCTTTATGAAGAATCTAAGTTACCTTGGGTGTATGGTGGCGAGTACAAAGCGTTCTCTGCATGCGTTGAAGGTGTCGTGAAAGCATGGATGGCTGTGGGACTCAGGGTATATTTTGTCTTTGACGGTATGTCCCTTTGCTTCTTCATTGTGGCGCATATAGGCTCATCTAAGCGATCTTCTGAAAAGGTTCTGCCCCAGAGCTGAAGATTCCAACCCTCATCAGCCGCCTCAACCACTCGATCGTTGAAAGGAGCCTTCTGTTCTTCAGAACTTCCGAGACATCACGCTCAACTCCCCGCTTTCTGCATGAAACACGGATGATACCACCACTTGCATATTATGCATGTCTGCATGCCCTTCATGAAGTCGCTTCATCAGCAGATACTCTACAAGTGCATTTCGCAGATGAAGAAGGCGATCCTTATGCCGTCGAACTCGCCGGCAGGCTCGGGGCATTTGTCGTCGGCAAAGACTCGGATTTTGTCATTCTCAATTCTGGGAAATATGCAGGATATATTCAGCTCGATGACATGCTGTGGGCAGTACCCAAATTCGTGGACGCAGGCTCTGGTGACGAAGACGGCGAGTTCCGCACAGTAAAGAAAGCAAAGACAAAAAAGAAAAACACTGCCCAACAAGGGACTCGTAGGGGTCTAATACCTCCTGCGCATAGCACGGATCTCACTCTGTCAGTTTCGGTCTACACACCGACTGCCTTGGCATCCCATTTCAAGATTCCAGTCACCCTGTTACCCTTGTTCGGCGCCCTGGTCGGAAATGATTTTTCCAACCAGTCTTCTACACAAAGGAACGTGCAAAGCTTATTTTTCGAACGACATCTAACGTTATCGCAACGCATTTCCCGTGTCGGGTCCACGTTAAACGCTATACTCTCCGCTGCCACTCAGAAACGAAAAGCCAGACATCAGGTCGGTTCAGTCATGGATTTGATTGACAGATCTGTGCACGCACTCCTAATCAGACAACCAAGTACAATGGCTTCCGGAGAAACCGACGCCATCGTTGACAGGATCGTCAACGCAACATTGCAGTACGCAATTAACAAGTATGACGGAGATACATTTGGGCCGGATGGTCTTTGGCCGAGCAAAATTTGTGCACTGCATCAGGCAGAAACTTGCCGACTGCCGGGACTGTTCTCCCGTACATTACTATCGGCCGATGATGAAGCAGCCAACAACAATACAGCGGAGCATGATACTCAACTACCCCAGCTCCACTCTCTCTACATCTCCGCGTACCGGTCGGGTCATTTGCAACCAAAGCTCATGGATATCTTGAATACCGGGACTTTTTGGCCAAGGTTATTTTTGGAAAACCCCGACGCGGAGAATGTAGCGCGGAGTATCGGCAGACCTATTAGGGAGTGGATCTTTGCTATTTTGGAAGATGCCGTAGGGCTGCCAGAAGCGCCAGAGGGGAGTGGGAACCCTGAAGTGGGGCAATCTGACACAACTCAGATGGACGAGGAAGATGAGGATGAGCTCATTGACGTGGTGGAAGAAGACTCCGAAGACGATGGAGCCGATCTCCTCGCCCCATTGCGTGGCGAGCTCCAAAAACTCCGCGTGCCAGATGAAGGGTCAGAGATTCCGGCGTCGGCGACATCCCAATCCCGGTCACACCTTCCAACGCAGCCAAAATATGTCATGGAATACGTTAGGCGAGGAACGCGCGTTGCCCCGGAAAGTGTGACGGTGCCAGATATTTCCAGGCTGTTGGTGTCATCCGCGTTTCATGACAATTGCCAAGATTGGACCCCCCTGCCACTCAGGCCCGCATTGGAGCGGATGTCAGTTTTTCTGCATATTCTTCATAGCAGTACTGTTGCTCTCGAAGAATTACCGAGAGAGCAACTCATGTGCGCCCTCGTTTTGCGATGGGTCGTGCGGGTGATGCACCTACGGGCAATAGAATCTTCAAGTAAGGAACGGGAGAAAGAAAAATGGACTAGATCGGAAGCAGGTGCCTTCCTTGCATTTTACACGTCAGGGAGGCATAGTCTCGATTTTTGTGCTATGCCTGCACTCTCCGGCTCGGAACCGAATGCTGGGTCTGAAACTACGCCAATCAACAGCCGTAGCATCCAGCTCATGGCCCAGGTGCTTATGGCAATCGAGAGCATACATCATTTATCCCAAGTTCTCTTGGTATCAGAACGAGTTCCAGTCCGTGTCCATACCCTATCAGGTCAGGCATTTCATATGTTCCTTGCCCAAAAGGTCTCGAACTATCGAGACACTCTACCGGCCGGGCTTTGGGATGCATGTACGGAGGGATTAGGTGATGCCTTTGCGGAAGAGCGTTCAGTCAAAGTCAAAAAATCGAAGATCAATGGAAAGTCCATTGAGCGACCGTCAGTGCGGAAAGCGACGCGTGTCGGGGCAGCAGGTAGCCAGTTCGGGTTGTTGGCTAATCTTCCAAGTTTAACGTTCTTGTCGACTTCCTGTATTGTTTGTTGATATAAAAGAATACCGAGATGAGCTCAGAGTTCTGTAGACTAAGAGAGTAGTTGGCAGTTGGCGGTGATGTGCAGTGGCTCAGCATGCAGTGGTCGGCTGTCCCCAGTGACTTGACAATACAGCTTAACGCTGTGTTTTCTAGACTAATTACATAATATTGCCTTGAAAAATGTAATTTAGAATGCGGTGTTTTCTGGCGGCAGAACGATGTACAGCAATAGAATCGGGCAATCTCACCGACACGGAAATAACAAAGGCTTTTGTACTGCACCACACTGGCACCAACTGACACTTATAAAAGGTTCCACAACCATGCCCCTTCGATTCTGCACTATATCTCTTCCGCGCGCTCGTCATTACTCGTCATGCGAACCTCTACAAGACGCCAGTCCCCAGCCCCTGCAGATGTTATCACGTATCGTTTGAATAGTAAAATGATGTATGTGCCTCCTGCAGAGAGCTTCGATGTGAGTCTTCCAATCCTAGTCACTCGACCATGAAACTGAACGCGATCATTGCAGCAAGCAGTTACATTTGCTAGATCAGCATTCGAGGGTGACCTCACTGGGATTGACAAGAGCCGGATATCCTTCTCGCTGAATGTACTGGCGAACGGGAAGCAGAGCTCTGTGGGTATCAGCAGTGGGGCATGGTCGACAATTATGTCCCATCTGGCACGATATGAGATCATAGACGTGCATGTCCAGCCAGAGCTCAAAATATCAGAACCCCCTCCGAGCTATCGGTCTTGTGGCTCAACTGGGGATGCCGAGAAGGAGCAGCACTCGTCATCACATTCATCATCACCTCTCCACGGTCTCATTCCCAAACGTCTGTTTCAACGGCTCGGTGCCTGAATGCAGCATGATACCGAGCACCTTTGGGCTTCCTGTTTCACTATGTAAAGATGATACCCTCACATGCGGAATATCGTTATGGAGAGCAAATGTTTTAGTGTACCAAATTGTGTCAAACACTCATTTGTATTACATTCTTTCAGTTATGAAACGACGGTTATTGTTATTTCAATATTTCATACAAGTAAATATTACTGCTGTATTAATTCAAATGGACATGGATAGACCTGTAGTATTACCATGCTTCCATCATTATGATCATATCACATGCAGTGCTCGATATGCGCGCTTCTCGAATGAATGGGTTTCAAGTTCACTTGTTATCTGGACTTAATCAACAAGCTGTATCCAAACGAGGTCGGGTAATCAACGTTGCAACGGCGTATAAACGCTGACGCTCACGAAATATTTGATCATATAAAATGTTTGATAGTTTGCCGCTGGCATCGTACTGCAAAGGACAGCGTATAACTACACTAAGTACTGGAAGCGCTCAACCAAGCGCCGTCCGAGATCAAGCGCCAATCAAAGCGCTTAATTTCCTTCGTAGCCAACATCAAATACAGCATGTAATAGAAGAATGACATCTCCGGGCGCTCACCTCGAACCTAGTGTTTGCCACTGTAACGAAGAAGCGCCTTGCTCCTAAATGTTGCATTGTACTGCAACAAATTATTGATGTCCCGGACCCAATCATCCTCTTTTCCAGGCCCAACGCCTTCTTCGCCTGGTTGTTCGTCTCCATAATCGGATATGGAGGAGCGGTTAATGCAAGGCACTGGGTATGGTGAGGCCTGTATAGTAACGGACTCCCCTGGATTAAGAACATGCGATACACGCCCGTCCATCGAAACGCCAGCCGCAGCACGGGAACGATCACCGATCTAATAATGTGAATCAAACGTTTGAGTAATAGCTTCCACGTGTTGTCACGATACACCGAGCGCATTACTCACACACAGCGTTAAGGATGAGGATGAGGGGAAGACGAGAGGTCTAAACGATAAACTTCGTGGACATATTGGCACGAGCACTACAGCGCTCAAGGAAGGATGTACGATAGGCCCTCCAGCTGAGAGAGAGTATGCAGTTGACCCCGTAGGCGTTGACACGATCACCCCATCAGACTGCGGAAATCAGTTACGCGCGGTGCTTGGGAGATTTAATACGCACAACAGCCTCCGTGAGATGTTGCCCGTCTACATAAATATCGATGGTATTAAGGTGTGGACTTGACCCACGGTGTAGCGCAATCTCATTCATAACCTGCCATTCTAGAATTGTGTCAGCATCGTGGGTACATACTTGGACCGTTTTATCCCAACCGTCATCACCGAGCCCTATTTTTTTGCGATCCTTGTCATAGAACATGCACGACAAGCGCATGCGATTGAGGATGGTTGCCTTGCCCTGAAACACTGCTTCAAGCCCTTTCACAAAGTCATCGATATCTATCGTATGTTTAGTGGCGTCCTGGCATTGGCGTGTGCACATACGGAATGGAAGGAGAAAGCCAAGGGTGCCCATTGAGAAACTTAGCACAGGAGGGACCGCTCCAAGACTGAAGAGTGATGCAGCATGAAGAATGGTACCATCACCTCCAAGAGTTACGACAAGATCAATTTTCTCGGCATGAGGCCCTGTGATGGATTTATTCAAACAGGTTGTTTCAGCATGTACAATCTACTCACCGGGACGCCACACTTGTGTGCCGAATGGAATGTCTGGGCGGTCTTCAGAGAACACTTTCACACCCGGATACGTCTTCGCTACATGACTGTTGTATGTTAGGCACCACCTGTTAATCGGCTGAAATAACACAGGAAGACTATTGCGCACTCCAGTAGTTCATCAATTGCCCCAATCACAGGCTCAGTTCGAAGCTTGTTCACAATTAAAATGGATCGTGGAGGGTATGATGCTCCATTTATGCTGTCTTGTTGAGCGTTAGCGGTCCACGATTGTGAATGGAAGGCGGCAGACAAACGCTTGGGATGAAGCACGGGAAAGACGTGAATGTGGTAGTTGTGGGATGAACGGATTCGCACGCGAAGTCAAAGGTAGCGACGGTCGATGTCGTCTTCGAGTGTGGAGACAGCGTCGAAAAGGAAAGGAAAGAAAAGCTCGTTGCACATGGCTGGCCATAGCAGTTAACATGGCTGCCAGTAAGTAAGCTTGACTTACATAACTGCACCGTGCAACATGCCACACCGTGACCGATGCATCTTTCTTCTTGCCACAACCTTGCGAAATGTTCTCACTCGGTAAAACATTCGTAAATCGACTACAAAGAACTCTCGTTGAATCCGAAGACACTGTATGGCATTCTGGAACTTTTCTTTTCTGCCACTGCTAGTATGGCAGTATTCCTGTGTTGATTAAGTTACGAGCAAACTTCTGGTTTGGTCACTTTTTTCAATATTGGTCTCAGGTTCAAGTGCTCACGGCTTCCCAGCCCGTCGTGACAGAACCTGAATCAACCATATATATACTACAGCACTTTGTTCAAGCGAAGAGCCGTACTTCACGGATCAGTCCGAATGGGATACAGTGCAAGTACGCGGCCAGTGCACGAGTACCCAAGTCCTTCAAGTACAATTTAATGGAATGACTGTCTTCCTCTATGGTCTGGACTCTGGCTAAGCCTACTACTAGGGGAGACTGGTCCGAACTGGGGGTGGTTCCTTGGCGTTGAAACAGTGTATCTGCGACTATGTGCCTGCATGTCAAGTACTACGGCACTACACTATAGCCTACGGCAAACCCCGAAGGAAACCGAGCGGCTGGCTAAGCTAATACGGTGCTACCCAAAGTGCTAGCGTGAAACATTGAAATCAACGCTCTAGAGTCATCGCTATCATATGCCGGGATTGTACTCTGATCAATACTAGGTGTTTCCAGTGATCCAATCCAAAGGTGCATTAGGCTATCTCCGAGGTTACGCTCTCGACGACAGATATGTCACCCTTGGCCCAAGTCGGCCCCGCCTTGCTTGGCTAAAGCATCGAAGCATGGTCACGGTGGTTATCGACCCATCTTTCTAGTGGGTCCGAAGAGGAGCGCCTTCTCAGAGGCTTCTGACGCTCGCGTAGTGTCAACTCTGGAAGACCTGTATCGCTCGCGGTAAATCTTACCAGAACCTCCACGATTTATACGTCGATGACTCGTGCAGGAGAAGCAATTCCGAACATCTAGAAAAACGTTCATCAAATCGTGGCGAGTCGATTGGATGCAATTTGGCTACTCTGCTCACTTTTTGAGGCCGGTCTCGTGGGATTTGGCAACGCACATCGATGATAGACCAAGCAGGCAGTTTCATATCATATCATTCCTACAGCTACAAGAGTTTGCGACCCAAATGGTTTTTGCCGTTGGTGAGAACTGTGGCTCCTTGAAGGCTTCCTATGATTTTACACTCCCGCGAGGACTGTACTGATGACCGAATACTTACCATCTTTCAAAAATCTCGACGATGACAAGAAAATTTTGGTGACACTGCTTGTGCAAATTATGCAACAACCCTGGTATGGTTGGTGTTATCCCGGTCTCGGTACCATTGATAGTATCCGCAGCGAGCAATAACAAATGCCAACGAGACGCTGCCTTCCGAAATTTTCGCAATGTTGTCAGTCAATCAGGATACGCATGAATGTCAGATACCTGGCAAATATGTGAAATGGAGTAGTAGGTGACTATATTCATATTGGGATAGTTATCTCTGATAGCTCGTTACATTGGTCCCCTTTAAAAGGCTTTCTTGGTGCGGATCTGGAATACCTGCAACAAGGACCTTATGAGACCCTGAAAGGGCTGAATAATTGATGTGAGTCATCTCGGTGAATATCTCACAAGTTTTCCGTGCGAATGGGCTGCATCATGTCACTTTCGGTTGTTCCTTCATGACGCTAATTGCATCCTAAACCAGACATGGACATGACTGCCCATTGCAGCGCGTCAGCCAGCACGCCGAACTTTACGGTTTCGGTACTTTCGATCGCGTCATACAACATTTCAGGCAGGGTCTTTGTGATCCATGTGAACCCATCGTTGCTGTACTACATCTATGGGGATACTTAATGTGTTGGCTATCCTCGATACACTCGAGTACTGGTAAGGTCTTGGCGAATGCCTTCAAATCTCATTATTATGAGTATGACATCAAAACGTTGACGAGTGCAGCAAATAATTCCCAGACTCTCGAGTGGAATGAATAGGAGTCTTTATTTGGTTTTATTTGACAGTATGACCCGCAAGCCCCTATACTTGCGAGTCTCAACCTCCCTCTCGCACTATGTCTTCCATCGGCAACGATATGTTCAGAAACTTTGAGAGAGTTAGCCGTACGTTTAACATTTTTTTACATAAAAAACATACATGTTGATGATGATTTGAACATATCTAGCAAAAGTTCAGGAGCCTATTGAAATGTTCCCCCAATCGGAGCGATACAACTTTCAATCTATCTCACAGCATGATGATGTCGAGCGGGACGAATTGTCAGACGGATCTGAATACGACCCGAAATCTCGCGATACTAACCGTCTCACTGTAAAGAAACCGAAGGAATTTAACGTGTAAGTATGGTCATATACCTCATGGGTAATTCTGTATTAATCATCTGTGAAGGGGTCGACAATTGGGTGGAAAAAAAATCAAACTCGACCGAAAAAATCGAGCATTGGTTCGTGCACTCGCAAAGCGTAAAAAGTGGGACTACAAAGAGATTGCCGCCGTCTTCGATGTATCGCTTCCTATCATCAAGAAGATCATGGCCAACGGCTATGTCGCGGTAGACGACAAACCATGGGAGGATGCGAAATTTTATGAGGAGAGTGACCTTAACAAGTTGATTTTGAGGGTCAGTCTTGAAAACTGTGTCTCTCGAACTCATGCATGACATTTGCAGCAGCTGCCGCCTGCCACGGAGAAACAGAACAAACCCAAGAAACAGGTATTATCAGTTGTGATGTCAACGCACGTTTCTCATGAGGTTATCTTGTCGAACACTAGGACAGAGCATATGTGAGATCCCCCAAAAAATCTGTAGTTGCCGCTTCCCCTCCTGCATCGGCTCCTATGGAGGTAGAAGTAAGTTCGCTTCAATCATGCTGTTGTAGTCTCACATGTGCCCAACCTATCAGCCGGATTCGAATACAACGTGCAGCATATTCAGGACGTTCCGAAACGAAGCGATACTTGTTCACGGGGAAAAGGTCCATTCGATACTTGAGGAAATTGGGATTGAAGATGACGAGACAATGTTCGCCGTCCTGATCATGGATGATGAACGGTTGAACGGCATGCTACAAGAGGCCAAGCGGCTCAACCTCGTGGAGAAGTATTCTGTCATTCAAGCGCTGAGAAATTTCGGGGAGAAGCACAAAATAGCGAGGTAGAACGTTCATGATCAATGTTTCCTATTCGATGATTCGATGAGATCGTTCACAGGTGATAGCTACCGCAAAGCCTTTGGGCATGTTTGGCTTCTTCCATACTAGTATGACATTCCATCTCCGAGATGCTAACAGCAAGAATCACCACATGACTGACGACTACCTCGGATCTTACATAAAACTTGACCACTTTTTTTCTTTGGACGCTAAGAGAGGCTCGGGCGTGCTGGTTACTCTTTCGGTTTACAAAATGATGATGGACATATGGCACGCTTCTGAGCTTCCTTTATTTAATACCCGGCTGTAGAACAGAATTCCGGAGAATCGAACTGCTATCGGTAAGTTGAAGCCACTGCCTAGACTCGATGATGACCAGTCTGACGTAGGTCTTTTGAGAGTGGGGAATTTTGGCCTGCATATGAATCATTTAAGTACTCCACCGAATTCAATCTCCATATTGTCGGGGGAAATATGATATTGGGGTTATTCCCCATACATCCCAGTGTTTGTCGGATAGCATTAACATCATAGTGTCCGACTTCGGGATCAAGTTCAGTTCATTGAGGTATTCGAGATCTTATTGCCAGTAGTTCAATGCTTCAAGCTTCAAGGCCATTTTCGAGTCATAATACTACTCAAGACTACACAATTGATCAAACGCCTTCGACAAATGGTTGCGCACACTTCGCACCTCGTCGATAGTGTCATTATTTATAAAAATACATTCGGTCACAGACGACGTACCTGTGAAAAGTAACGGAGTTCTGTAACGACGAAAGATCTTGGAACGTTGAGTGTAAATGTATCTTATGTACTAGGTTCATGTCTCCGTTCACTCAGGATCTTAGCTATAGCCGGTGACGTTGAACTTGTACGTAAATTCATTATGGATAATATTCAACGCGTGCTTACAAAGCATAAGTACCAGACTTCTATTTTTACTCGTTTGCTTCTGTCAGAATCACGGTCGCGAGTAGGTACAATTGGGACGTTGAGCATTTCAATAACGCCAGGACTTGTGACTTCTCTGTTTTCAAATTTCGGCGGAAATGAGCGCTTGTATGTCCCCTGGGCCAGTCTGGCTATCATCGTGGTAAATGCGCAACCTAACTCTAGTTTGCAGTGGGCCTTCCCGGATGAATCGATGACTCATGACTCCACTGGTCGTCGCATGGACTGAACTCGTGCTTGTATACTTTCGTTATTTACGAGAGCGAGAACACGGGAAAATGGCCACTCCGGGGCCTAGGCTCAGCGCTCAGGCGTAGGTTAAGTGGATTTGGCTTCGCGCGGAGTCATCACCGTGGCGCTCGTCGTGGTGGGCAGTCTTAGCACATCAATAAATTCTTGAGTTTTGTTAAGTCACAGTTGGTACGAAGATACATTGGATTTGAACTATTCCATGTTGGCTCCATGCATGAAATAATTTAAATCATGGATGTCATTCTGCCAAAGAACCCGGCAGAATGAGGACTAGATCTCCGCTGGGGCCTTGCCCTTATTACGATAGACAGTACATCATACTGCATCTCTCTGCTCCAGAAAGCCATCTATGCAATAGCCTTCTTCACCCCACAGTACTAGTAACCTTTCTCGATCGACTCAACGCAACTGCACTTCCTCACTCGCAAAGTAGATACAGCCTATACTATCTCATATATCGGTAGACACGTTTGAAGTACTGGAAAAGACTCGAGCGAATCTTTGTTACCATAGTTATGACTCATCAGAAGGTAATGGAAAGCCAATTCGTCCAGCGGCTCCAGCCAGGCATCGACGTCGGCACCACCACACGCATCTCAGACTCAGAACAACGACGATGATCTTGCAGGTCCTGATATCCACATCACTTGACGAGATCGAGGCAGCATTTTCCCTACTGGAACACGACAAAGAAGCCATGGAATGAGTGCCGGTTGACGGATTGAATGAAGTGTTGGAAGCCCAAGTTTGTGATTGGAGCATGTTGCCCGAGCGAGGTCTTCTGTCGACGATGAGATCATGGTAGTTGATCATAGCTCACATGAAGAACAATGGGATCTAGACACGCTGATGCTTCTAACGGTGTTTCCTGACACTTACCATACAGGCCTCGTAGCGCTGTAAAGTTGGCCGAGCGGCAGAAGTACCATCAATTCTGCCACATCTGTTGGCAGTTAAACCGGCACAATTGTTCGCTCCAGAATTCCCGATCAGCGCTATTCGAAGAAAAGAAGGGAGAAGTCAAGGTTAAGTCAATAGATCCGAGTACGTCTCAGTGATGAGTCTCGTGACTCTCGTCAGGGCGACCCCAATATCATATTTCTTGTTCAATGGGCGCTCAGTAGTTCGGTAGCATAGCCAGATTATTTACATGCAGACAGTGGCTTCAACTTACCACTGGCAGTTTTTCTGAATTGCTGTTCGGCAGGCGGGTGTTGAGCGTTGAATAAAGGAAGCTCAGCAGCATGCCATATGTCTTGTAAAACCGAAAGAGTGACCAGCTCGCCTGGGCCTCTCTTAGCTCTCGAACCTAACCGTATTTGAAGATATGATCCGAGGCAGTCGTCACTTATGCGGTGATTCCTGCTGTTACATCTCGGAGATGGAATGCCATTCTGATACGTATGAATGGAAGCAAGCCAAGCATACCCCTGTGATCATGAAGCCGCAACACTTTACATCACGCCTGGCCCACATTGAACCAACAGCTGGGGGACTTGCTCTGACTGTCCAGGGTCAGGGCTAACGGCAACGAGTGCTCGTCATATAAAAAGCCTGCAGTGTATACTGTTTTCTCCAGATCCTCCTCTTCACAATCAGGTTAGAGATCAGCCTTGCATATCATCGTTGTCTGACATGACCCCACAGAAACAACATGTCTTACACAATCGTAGTCAGAGTCATCGACAACACCCGCAACAACTCCAATTTCACGCTCGCCGAGAAAACTGTGTGGCACTATGCCAATGGCGGGAGGTGGACCGACACAGACTCAATCCAGACACTCACCATGGGTGGCAGTGGGACGTCTGGTGGGCTCCGCTTCATGTGCGGTACCGGGGAGGAGTTCCTCGTGGTGCTGGGCATCCACAACTACAAGAGGTGGTGCGACATCGACGTTAACCTCGCACCTGGAGACACGGGGATGAAGATCCACCCCGAGTACTACACGGACGGCACCCCTCAGAACAAGTTGCTGTGGGATCAACTGTCTGAGATCGAGAAGACTAGCGCAAAGGGAACCAAGGTGAATGTGAAGTACGTCCAGGAGGCAGGGGACGGAAAGTCCTTCGTCGTTCATATCACCATTTCTTGAATATCTTGAAGTTGTTCATACCTTTCTCATACCAAAGCAGTTGTTGAAAGATGGCGTAGGATGTAGAACGAATGTACTAGCAGTATGTAAAGATGAAGTCAATATCTTGATGAATGTTTTGTTTGCCGAACACAGTGAATTTACATGATCAATGACGTACCATCTGCTGCAATGCGTTTGTAGATGATACATGCAATGTACATTGTCGACGAGATCTACGCGTGCTCAGTTTTCTCCAAGCCTTTTGTTTGGTACGCTTTGTCACATCCGCATCGTATCTGCGACAAATCTGTAGTTGTCGCTTCTCCTTTTCCATCGGTTCCTATGGAAGTAGAAGTCAATTCGCTTGTTTGATCATGCTGTTGCAGTCTCATGCGCACCCAACCTGTCAGCCAGATTCAAATACAGCATATTCTAGATGTTCCGAGATGAATCGACACTTGTTCACGGCGAAAATGACCATTCAATCCTTGATGCAATTGGGATTGAGGATGACGAGACGATGTTCGCTGTCCTGAAAATGGATGATGAACATTTGAATTGTAAGTATACTACAAGAAGCCAAGCGTCCCAACTTCGTGAAGAAGTATTTCGTCGTTCAAGCGATGAAAGAAGCATAAAATAGCGAGGTAGAACGCTCGCCTTCTATGATTGTCATTGCAGCGTCCAGATGGTCGTCCAAACCATCCGAAAGGGAGTATAAACAATAAAGTCATGTCAAATCATGGAACTCACGCCTTCAGGTCTTTCTCTATAAATCCCTAGTAAACCTTGGCTACTACTCAAGAGCAAATGAACACTCTTTTTGAGCTTTCTCGTGCGTGAAGTTGAGATGTGTATGCCGCGGGTCTCGTAAAAACGGTTCCATCCCTGGCCTGGATGAAGTAGTGAAGGGGTTGCATTCTGTCGGTATTCGAGAAATTTTGGGACAGGGTTTGGAATTTCTTTAGCTGGAGGAAGATCGGCGGGCAACAAGAGCAGGTCATACTACTATGTGCTACCAATTAGCAAATCGAATGCATGTGGTGCACGCTCAGAATTCGACTCAGCTCTACTTCAAAATCACGAAGGATAGGCAGCTGTGATTGAAATTTGAATAGGATAAGGTAGGTTGGAAAGAAAGCGGGCCCTCAGGCCTCAGGAATCGGCACTGCGGGGAAGTATATACTACCTATGGCCTATATAAGGTCGCTGCGGGTGAGAATTCATCTCATGGTTCACGTGAATGATGACCGGCCTGACCCGGAGGACGCTCGGGAATGCTAGGTACGTGTGGCGTTGACTATTTAGCGGCGTGCTGACACAGCTCGAAGACAACGACACAGGAAGATCGGTCGAATGACAGTTTCAAAGTATCTGCAATTCGGAGTTCCAGAAAACACTCCTGTAACTATACTAAGTGCGCGCTATTTAACTGGGGCCATTCGGAACGAAACGGATAGGTACGAATGGAGGGAGGAAAACGGGTAACAAGCAAGTCGGCCGAGGCCTCTGTAAGGTACTCGTCGTGGTCAGAAGTAATGAGAGTCATAACGGCTAACAGGAAAGGATAAGTCACGTTTCAGAACAATATGGCGAGGTCACGAGGACCCCGTTACAGTACGGTACTACGGGTAGAGACCGTAGAGTACTCTATCGAGGATGCCGTTTACAAGCGAAGCACAGAACCTGCGACTGTCTTTGGCCTCCTTGAGGCCCTCTCATTGCATTCGAACGTGGTGACTAGGGGAGAGTTGAGACTACCTCAGGCCAACTCAGGCTGTGAGCGGCTCGCGATTAGTAAAGAAGTCTCGTTACCGTGACGCAGCTCAAGCGCTCAAGTACTATGAGCTGTGGCCGCGTGGCCGCCTGCAGGCGTCAGCGCTTCAGCCTTGTTGGAGCCTTTCACCTCGTTGCCTGCAAGAATAAGGGATGTCAGTATCAGACGATCCAACAGTTCCCGCCCAATGGCAACAAGAAAAGTATGTCTTTTGCTTTCCACAAGATCTATGAAGTATTGAACATGTGTTGTGACTACAGTTCCGAATTCTTGTTGCGCAAAATTCTCGATGTGCTAGAGCAGTCCACCATTGCTAAGAAACCACTCCCGTCGGATGACTGGAATGGTTTTTGGGATGTATACGATCAGGAAGCAGAAGAGTTCGACAAATCATTCGTTGAGAGGTATCTCTCGGATTTGGACAATAGTCTAATTTTCGTAAGCTTTTCTGGCCTTATGCAATGAGTCTCTGTCTGTTGACCGAGCGTATCTTTCAGGCGGGTCTTTTTTCGGCCGTCAGTGCCACTTTCTTAGGGATAATGCTCCCCAACCTGAGCCCCGATCCCAGCGACACGACAAATGCCTTATTAATGATGATATACCATCAACTCAATAACACCGCATTTCCAGGGCAAGTCCCGAGCCTTCCCTCGTGGGATGGCCCCCTTTGGATTATCATCTGGACTCAGACCCTTTTGTATGCTAGTCTCTCAGCCAGTCTTCTGGCTGCTCTTGGAGCCGTCTTGGGCAAGCAGTGGCTGAGGGACTACCGAGACAACACACGAGGATCTCGTGAGTCTCGTCGCACCAGGCGGCAGCTCAAAGTCGACGGGCTCGAAACGTGGCACTTTGAAGCCGTCCTTCGTGGTATACCTGCTTTACTGCAGCTTTCTTTGCTACTCTTCGGCACGGGTCTTGGGGCGTATCTATGGGCCCAGCAACGCACTGTGGCTGCTGTTGTCGTTGGAACAACGTCCTTCGGTGCCTTTTTCTATATTGTGGCCTCCATCAGCAGCCACTTTTATGTTAGCTGCCCTTTTACGACGCCGGCTCTTCCACTCGCATATAATAGCCTGAGCGCAATTCAATCATTCACAACGATCTACGTCATGCGTCCGTTCACTTGGCTAGCTTACGCCATCAATACTCAACTCGGCAGGTGGAGATGTGTGTGGGGTCTCATCCCGCAACTATTGGCAATCATTCTCATAAACCTGATTGGTATTATTCTGTCCATTCTACAAAGAATTGTTTGGGGGGCGTTATATTTATTAACGCCTCCTGCTCCTGATTACCCACCAGTTGTCGATGTATCACACTCTGTCCTCTGGCTCTGCCAGACATCCCTCGATCCCGACGCCATATTTTCCGCCGCGAAAAGGATTCCCGACGTCACTTTCCCTACTGATGCTCTCGGATCATGGGCGGTTTGGGGAAAACTTTTCAGGCTAGTTCAGGACGGGCTCAAACATCCCTCTCCATCCCCTGCGGTATTCATATATGCGAAAGCATTGACTTCTCTGTATTTCACTGCCTACGTCTACAAGAATCATTTTTCGTCCATCTTTAGCCAAGTCGGTATTAAAGATGTAGCAACACTTCGTGTGGATGGGCACCGTAGTCATGGCACGTTGTCGTTGTGCTTTGTGCTGACTGTGCTTCAGAAATGGTTCGACATCGTTAGCGACCCACAGAATCTTAGCGTACCCGAAGGAAAAGATATCATTAGTGCACTTGGCCCAGACATCAGTCTCGATGACCTACCCAATGATACTCTTGAATGGTTTTTATATCCTCTATTGCATGGTCTTTGCGGAGCGCAACTGCCATTGTCTGAGGAGGATATCCATAGCCGTCACTTGTTTTTGCAACCTCTGGCGATCTATATTATCCGCAGGCTGCTGCCTATCGATCGACCACATCCACTTCCTTCCCGTAAAATCATTATAAGATGTCTTCAAGTTATGATCGCGATCCTCGATTGGCAGTCAATCGATCTCGAGGAAATCAAAATCACAGATAACAGGTACTCGACCTGATCTCTATGTGTGATGAAGGCTGATCATCGAATGCGTGCAGTGACACCATTGAAACAATCTTCCCTCGTATCCTTGATCTTCTGCAACGTCCAGATATCACAGCCGCAATTCAAGCTGATCCCATTCATGTACAACATCCCGAAGTGACACGCTCCGGCATATTTTCACGTGTTCCTCGATTCATTTCCTCAAGATCATCAAGGTCACGCACTTTTTCAGCAAATGAAGTCTCGCATTTTAGAGCCATACTGGAGCCTTTAGCACGCCTTGCCAGTGAAACAGAATTCAAACATCATTTCCAGAATAGCGAGGTGGAGACATGGAGCACCGGTGTCTTCAAAGCCACCGTACCTCGATATATTGAAGACGCATCTACCCCAGCACTCTGCCTTTATGTGTGCTGCTCCATTGATAACCTTTTCAAATCCGAGGTTATATACTCTGAAACGATCTGGGGTTCATGTCAGGCAAATGCGGACGCTTTCGTGCTGCTCCAATATCTCGATCCATCCTATCACCAGTTCCGGTATCCTCCCCGCAGATGGCTGGACCCGGGATTCCAAGATACCATCGCATCTGCATATGCGTTGCTGATGCTTTCCACTGACGATGCCATCTTCACTTCCGGGACAACAGCTACGGTAGTGCGCAAAATTATATCCGCAATGCAGCACGAAGAATCCCCTCTTTACAGACACGTTGGGCTGAAGGTAGCTCACGTTATCAGAGAGCATCTGGTGAACATCACAGATGATGTTGGCGATGAACTCCTCCCAGCCTTGCGTTCTGCAACCTTTCAAAATATCCAGAGCGATACCATCACGCCAGGTGACACATCACCAGATCGATTCATCTATCTAAAGCGCGATCTTCATTATTTGGAAGTACTTTTCGCCCTTGCAAATAGCGAGTATTGGCTCTTGCAGCTCCGCCAAGACAGCTGCAACCATATGCAGCGGTGTATTTCCATAGCCAAAACTATTCATCCACTGTCTCATAATGAAGACTATACGGAACTCTCATTACGACTGGTCCTGATATTTGCCCGCATTGCTTGCGTTGACAATTATTTCTGGCCAGAGTGGAACGCCTGGTTTGAAGCGCGCCCGGACAACCAGGTGCTGCTCGTCGAACAAGCTTGGGAGCCACAAATGCTCAGCGAGTGTCCTGACGTCATCCCTCTTCTCATCGCGTTCACGAACAAGATACTGTCGAGTCTTAGAGGTGTGAGCAAAGAAGGCTTGGCGATGCTTCCTAAGGACACAATGATTGCGGCCTTGGATGGCATTTCGAAACAGGTGCAGATGGTGGTGGACGCTCGTATGAATGTAGACGAAACGCAGAATACTTCGGAGGTCCTCGGTACGGAGGTGGCAGACGCTCATATGAATGCAGACGAGATGCAGAATGCTTCGGAGGTCCTCGGTACGGAGGTGGTAGATGCTCACATGAATGCAGATGAAAGGCAGAAAGTTTTGGAGGTACTCCTCAAGGAGGTGGTAAATTCAAGGGACGAGTTGTTGAGGCATTTCGGTGCGTAGTCGTTGATATTGAACAAGCGCTGGCATAGGATCTTGTAAATGACTAATTGTACATAAGCTACTGAGATAACACTCTTGACGTCAAAAGCTCTTCAGCCGTGTCGATGATTTCCACTCCCGCCTTGTCCATTCTAGACCGTTATCAGACACACTCCTGACCGCGTCCCTGATCACAAATGTCCTGAACCCGTATTTCTTTACATCGAGTGCAGTAGACTTGACGCAATAATCTCCCGCTATGCCGACCACGAAAACATTTGATATCTCTTTGTTCCTCGGCTTGTCCTGCATGAACGTGCATAAACTCCCACTTTTGATCACGCAACACTCACTACCATGGTGAACACGAAAGTAGATACATTAAAATAGATGACAACCAAGTTACTATAAAATACGTGTGAATAAAAGTGTACAGACATTCCCCAGATATTGTAAGTAGTTAGTGTAATACGGAATCATTGTACGCAATACAGAGCTACAGCAAAAACCATTCATAACCATCTGACCCCACTCTATGCAAAGACCAAGCTCAAGCGTCACCCCTCACACCAGCAGCAGGAAAGACACTCCCGACGATCTCCTTAAATGCCCGATCATCTTCGTACTTTTCCCTTGTCTCCTTAACCATCACCAGCAACAGAGGTCTCTCCGTCCTGTGCGCCTTCATATCATCCACATCGCTATCAAAAGCTAAGGATGGGCTGAGACAGTTGAGCGCTCTGAGCACCAGGCTCGTGAAGCGTGAAGGAGGGGTGGATCGCGGTGACACAGATGACGAAGAAGATTGAGAGGGAGAGTAGGTGTTTGTGGAAGACGGCGAGCGCGAGAACATCCGCCTAAACACCATCTGTGGGCGAGATAGCATACGAGGGCCACCACGGGGATTGGAATCAGGGCGGATGATGGTACGCGTGACAACGATGTCGACGGGGTCATATACGTCGTCAGGCGTAGAGGAAGTGGCGCGTGTAGTGCATGTGTCCGTAGGGGATGGGCACGACCCCTCGTGGTCCGGCCGTACATCACTCGCGTTCGTTTTCTCGCTCTTGACGCAAGGGCCCTGCCTCATTGGCGTTGAATCTGAAGTGCGGGTTTTGAAACGCGAGGCAAGTCTCTGAAGAATGAAACAGAGACGAGGAATAATGTTAAGAAACGCAGGGCAATGAAACCAAAGGAAATACTAACCATATTAGTGCGTCCATGGGGGTCGAAACGTTGTGCGTCCATGGCGTTGTAACGTGCGTGACCCATTTCCATGTTTATATCGTAAGAGGATACAAGTCCTGGAACTATCTGATACAAGCTAAGATTTTAGAATGCGAATGAGGGAAGCGAGCGATGACCTTCTCATGTTCGGGAAAGAGGTATTTAAGCAAATACCTAGTGTACAAGCAATTGTGGACGATAAAGCGTGGAAGCAAAGCAGGCGCCACTCACTATGCCACTAAAGTTTTTGTTCGTTTGCTTGGACGACTATTTTCGTGCTGTGGAGCCCACCCACAGCTCTCGAAGTATTTAATCCTTGGGTTTAAAAGTGCGAGTCTCAACAAAACGTGCCTTCCAACCAAGAGCTACGCGTTAAGACTTAGCATTGAAAGATATGACTCAACAGGTCTGTGAGCACGCTCTTTTATTGTACGGTCGTTGTGCTGACGTGATATTCGTAGAGCACAATCGATGTACGAGCTCCGAAACGGCCGTCGTACGCGCAACTCGATGGGACAGAACCTGAGTTTGAGATTCGGAAAGCGAGGAGGGTAGCGGTGTCAAGGGAGCAGGCGCGGTTGATTGTGGTGAGTGTTAGGGATGCTATAGTATTGTCGTGACGCGGTGCTCAATGTCATTGTGATGTGATGCAGGTGGCACCTACTAGAAAGGCAACAGGTGATGGTCATCATGGTCAGGCGTGTCAGGATGCTGGCACAAAGAGATAACTTGCTCACCTGAGTAACTTATGATTGCAAGGCGTCAATAACCGAAGAGTTCGACGATGCTCGTTATTGGGGTTTGATAGCCACTAGTATTTGTAGCATTAGCGTTATGTAGTGAATGTACATTTTAGATGATGACTTACACTTTCGCCCTTCAAGACATGCCTGTCCCAGGTGATGGACTTGAAAGCCTCGGGTTTGCAGACATCTCTATTGATCCTTCTCAATGTAGATGAGAAATATCACGTGGGATGTCTGAAACGCGCTGCATAGAAAAGCAGTCTAGTGCAGAGCAGAGCGTAACGTCGGATGAGATATATTATATCCTTCAAATATGCTGATCTAGCTACTAATGGGTCCTGCAGGAGCTCTGTCTGGAAAACATGTGCGAGTATCAATTTCGGAACCGTATAAACAAGCATCAACAACACCACCTTGTTCTAACCAATTCCGAAATTCACCCATCCAAGGTGTACCATGACGATACTCTCAATTGTAGGGCACACAGGCGACGTAAAGCGCACATCCCCTGATCTCAGCACTGCCTTTTAACCCTCGTCGTAGTGATGCGGATCGGTCTATCACCTCTTATTAGTAGAGTTATTGGGAGCACGTGATCCATTTGTAAGTTCTGACATATCTAGCACTGCCATGGCTGACTTAATGCGATCACGGACTCGACACCGTCGGTTCTATGCGTTCATCCATGTCTTCGTATCGTCCGATCCCCAACTTGCGTCCTTATGAGATAGCATTGTAAGCCAAGCAGTCAGCATCATCCGTTATCAGCGCTTCGACCTCATATGTGTGAAAACTGGCCTCGATATTTGCGACCATGTAACTAGTATAAATACAGCCTTACAGGGTCAGTCTTGCTGTCTTCATCCAGCTAATTTACCAACGATGTACATCCCTCCATTCGATACCACCTCCTACTCCACCACCACCCAATCACCCAATCCATCCTGGACATATGGCCAGAGAGTCGACGCCACTCCTGCCGGAAAAGACTGGCTTGCAGGCGAATCCGCAGGGTGGAAAGTCTACAGCACAGCAGAAATGGACAACATGTACGTACTCCTCCACATGTTTGTCAGCCGTGATCGTGACCGTGATCGACAGCAATCTCAACAAGCTCTTGAATTCAGGCATTCTACCACGTCCCATGTCACTCGTATCCACGATCAGCGAGGATGGGGTGGAGAACCTGGCACCCTTCAGGTAAGACACGCTCCCATAATCTAACATATTCTGCATGCTTACTACCTGGGTTGCATCTACCAGTTGGTTCAACACAGTGAGCAATGCGACAAACAACGCGTCCCTTTAATGGTCTAATAACTTCGTCCCATAGGTCACGAACTACCCGCCCGTCATCTCATTCGCGATCAACCACAATGCTACGGGCAGCCTCAAAGACACGACCGCGAACCTGAAGAACGGCCAAGGATTCGCCGTGAACATCATCAGCGAGGCATTCGTCGAGAATGCAAATGCGACTGCCGTAGACGCTCCTCCCGACTTCGACGAGTGGGCTCTCAGCGGTCTGACAAAGGAGAAATGCGTACGCGTGCACCTTCATCATATGATATGTGGACTAACAATCACGCGTTCAGGTGCAAATAAGAGCCTCGCGCGTCAAGGAAAGCGCTTTTAGCATGGAATGCGAGGTAAATTCATTTCACACAGAGCCTGCTTGTTCGCTGACATCCTCGCCTCTCAATAGCTCTACAAATCGATAGATATCACCCACCCAGTCACAGGCAAGCACAACAGCACGCTCATCCTCGCGAGCGTCAAGTACTTCCATGTGCGCAAAGACATGCTCACAGGCAGAGGTGCCGTCGACCTCACAAAGTTCAAGCCAGTCGCGCGTGTGGGCGATATTTCATATGCCCGGGTCGGAGATACATACAGGATCCCTGTGCCTTCATGGGCGCAGGAGGAGGCGAAGATACAGGAAGCGTTGAAGACTCTCGCATCACCATGAAATAGAACGAGGGTGGCTTACCATTTCTGGGCAACACATACCATAGACCATATAGATATCAGCATCCAGGCGGGATCAAGTCCGTCGCTATTTCTTATCCTTAAGATAGACCTTTATAATTGACTAGCAAGCAGTACTTTTTACATTATAATGATCATGGATTTTCAAACCTGGTATCCTTTACAACTATCAGGATCAACGACAATCACTGAACACGCGCGCAGTTACATGCGCTACAAGCCAACTTGGTAATCTCATTGTATCCATTGCAAGATTATACAGCGCTCTGACTGGAATCGGCATGGATCATTTACATGGACTCGCCGTCGGTCGGCTGCCGGCCCTCGAGGCCTATGCATTCTGTGTTCATGGAGTTACGAAGGCGTCTCAACACAGCATGACGCAGAAACGGATAGAGCCGAGAGAATAGTATGACGGCCCAGCGGCAGCCCCTATTTTGTCGAACAACCACAATGGCCACCATAGCCTTCAATGACAGCTCCGATACACCTCCCTCGTATGATGTGTCTGTATCAAAAGATTCCAGTCAATCTAAACAATCGGTATTTTCATCCCTACAATCCAAGCACAAAGCTTCTGTTCTATCTCTCATCCATCAAATTGTCTCTTCTCCTGGTTTCGGTGTTGCCTCTGTCGCCCCGATTATCAAATCCTGCGCTGCTGCTCTCCCAGCAGCAAAGTTCTCAAAGCTGCTCCAAAAACGCAATATCGAGAACCACACGGCGCTGTATTGGGCGATTGTAAACAACCGGCGAGAAGCCCTTCTGGAGTTTGTTAAATTCATTCCAAAATTCTCACGTGCTTGTTCTGCCGACTTGCGTCTTGCATGTATGGCAGTGAACGACCATGATTCATTTATGCTACTGCATTTGGGAGACAATGAGGTTGATTGTACGTGCAGATACATCATGTCCTAAAAGTAACTCAGTGCGTACTATTAGCCAAGGATAGGTCTTCGAGACGCATGTTGGGTTGTCCGCGAGATGACATTCAAGTCCATGACGGGGATACCCTGAGCGCGCGCAGTAACGAAAACAACTTCTTTGTTCATTTTGTCTTCAGGATGTTCCAGAAGCGTCTGCGTACTGCACGGAAATTGGAAGTAGAATTTGTTGCCCAGGGTATGTCGTACAAGATTTTGGTTTGTTCCTCGCACTGATACCAACACCTGATTCTCTCAAGGACGTATATGGGTGTTATGCTTTAGTATGGATGTGCTGACAGGGGATTGGTTTGTTGAGTTTGGTATTTCTCGAGATAGCCCGTCAGTGCGCCCAAATGCTGTACTTGAAATTCAGGCCAACAAACTGTCACCTGGCTCTGATACCATGCAACCTCTACGCCTTGATATGCGTACATCACACATTCTTGCACCTGGGGGGTAGGTCTATCATTCCCACTCATTTGAAGGCATACTAAAGTTTACCATTATTCATACATGGCTACTCTTTACTTGCTCTGGCTAATACACAGAGTATATAAATATTACATGGATGGGGCCGACACCAGACTCACAGTTTGCTGGCGATTGAGTGATTGGCCAATGCACGCGTAAGTATTCTTCCTTAATCCAACCTCGGGCTAACTTGGACTACTTTGCTTTAGCAATACTGCTTATGTGGACTGCAATGGCACCCTAACTGCAAAGCTTATGATGACAATAAAGCCACGCTACCCTTACCGAGGCTGATGCTGATAGTAGGGATACCCTCCAATAGATTGCAAGGTGTTCTAGGAAAGTCAATACACATGGTGTGCGCACATTTATTAAATAACGCTAATAAGTACATCAATATGGACGCTAATAAGAATGTTTTGTGAAATGATGCTGTCCTATATAATGGGAATCCATATTTTTGAGCACCTGGATCGAAACTACATCATTGACATGGAAACAGTGAAGAATTTACCTTGCGTGGGCTGTATGATACGTTTACATTCTTCATGTCAACTACTGGCTTTCCATGATCAAGGCCAGACTGCAGATATGACTGAGTGGTGCTTGCCATTTTATGCTCAGCTTCCTTTGCGTTTGCGTGATGTTCCGCATCCTTGGACATGATTTCATCTTTGACACCTGTCAGGATAGTTTCGCCCGTCACTAGAGCTATGTGTGAAATACACTCAGGAACAGGGTCCTGGATCCTAAGACCCATGATAATGCGTGGACTGCGAGACTCATGCAGTGACCGAAGGACATTCAGCAAGATTGGGGGAGTATTAACATCAAGGCCGGCTGGATAAAGTACAGCCATTATACTTCACGCTCGTCATATTTAAGTTCAATCACTCACTTAAAGATTCGTCAAGTACGAGGAGCTCTGGTTCAGACAAAATAGCCTTCACAATGCGTGCTCGACGCCTCTGGTCATTTGATAAAGCTATTAAAAGGTAGATCCAACAGGGAGGAAAGACCTAGTCTCGAAGTTAGGTCCTCAAAGATGCCCTTCTTCACTTCGTCCTGCGCAATTTCAACGGGAGTCTTCACCTTTCCACCTTTCGGCTGGATATTCAGGAAGTCGTACTCCCCAAACATACTTTCTCGAAGGGTGATACGGTCTTCTCTGACTGCGCCGTATCGAGAAGTGTAGTCGTAGAAGGCACCACCTGCTGCACGGGGCCGATGCGCGAATGACACAAAGGCCACACAGTTGTGTGTGTCGCGTGGGATGAAGATGATGAGAATAATACCATTCAGCTAGCGATGCATGTTCATACTGAATGGTGCAAGGGGAAGGACAATGAATAACGCCAGCATCGAGACCGCTGCATAAACTGCACGGCACGTCAGCTCACTAGATCAATACAACACGAAATCCGTCAAGTACTCACCACCAGAAGGACTGGCTCCATCTATGCGCGTCTGATTCATCGCAAGGAGCAAAATGACCGCGATATGAGACATTAGGATAACGGGCAGCGGAACAACAACTAAAAGCTGGGCAATCCACCAGCCAATAGTGCTCTGCTCTTCACCTGATGGCGTGGGTTGGCCATGCTGAGCGATGAGAGGTGTAATCTCTGTCGGCTCAGTTTCCTCAATGATGCCCACGCGCTGGTCGCCGTTCTCGGCAGTGTCCACGGCATCGTAGTGCACACCTCGCACCTGACGCCTTTGCCTTCCAATTTCTTCCTCGTCTTCATATCCCCGAGCACCGGCCATGCCTTCCACACACGCAAGTATGGTGCCAAGGAGAACCACCGCGTTCCAGGCAGTTATGAAATATGTTCCCCCAAGTGCGACGGCTGATGTTGTGTATACGAGCGGTACCCATGTGAGAACATACTGATGGAGAAGGATAGACAGCTTTTGCTGTTCTGGAGCAGGGACGACGCCATGCTTCGTCGGTGGGAAGGTGAGAGCGAGAACTGTTGTGAGATAAGCCAGCGATAATGTAGACACAAGCACAAGCCAAGGGTGAGTATGAATGACCTGACAATCGATAAGCAAGTGATTGCGGAGAACGAGGGACTAAACGCTCACGAATGGATTCAGCTTCGCATATCCTACCACTAAAAGTATCTGAAAGCCAACACCGAGCAACAAAGCAATCCAGAATTTGGACCAGACCCAAAAGCCTTTGAGGAAATGTGTTATTTTCGCTGATGCCCGCACCACAAAGCTCTCGCGGTGTGTATCACCATTTGCAGTGCGATAGTATCCAGAACGAATACGAGACGTGACCCTGATCATCTGATGATATGCTCGAAGTAGACCAACATCAGGAGAATGACGGGCCCGACGGTAAGGAGGATGATGTTCACGATCTGCAAAGTTTGGAATGTCAACACGATCATAACGGCACCAAAGACTGATGAGAGAAGAGTTATAGATGTGGCCAGAGGAAATAGCAAGGGAAGAACTCACGGTCGAAATGCACTGGCTCACTTCCTTGTTCAATGGACTCTGTCCTCGTTTTGCCCTTGATATCGTTTGCAAGCACGAGACTCGAGGACAGCGTTCCCTCCATCATTGCCCATAACGCGTTTTTGCTCTTGTCACCGGACATACCAGGGATAGAGTCGTACTTTGTATGATACCTGCTCCTCCCACAGTAGGAAGCAAAATCTAGCCCCTTGAGTCCGGCTTGCTCATAAACCGAGTAGTCTGTACCACTGCGGATAACACCACGCGAAAACGCATCGCTGGTGATGATGTTTGCGTGGGGACGAGAAGTGCTCCAGGACGCCAGAGGAGCGCGAGAAGTCGCTCGGAAAAGTAGTGGCCGTCTTCAGGATTTCAGTCAGTAAAGTAATACGGTACAGTTTGATTAAACCGTTCACCCTCCTGCCGCAGCACGCTCAAGGTATCAGTGTTATTGACCCACGGATGCTCTATGAAACTGGCAGTAAGATGAGTGAGTGCAAAGCAAAAGGCAAAATTACAGCGTACACGTGCGTTTCATTCAAGCCGTCCTCTTCGCCGTTATTGATGTTGAACACCACCGTCCGGCTGGGACTGTTCTCCGCAAAGTACTTCACCATGCTCAACAGCGTCACCACGCCCATACCATCATCTGTCGCTCCAGGAGCGGTACTGACAGAGTCCCAGTGTGCACTGAGCAAAAGCCCGCCCGACTCTTGATACTCCTCGTCACTCCCCTCGACCTCGAGCAATACATTGTCAGACTCGTAATATGCTGCGTAAGGGTTCGTGGAGAGGAGTCCTGAAGCCCAAGACGCATTTGAAGAAAGGTCGAAATCCACGGAGACATGGTCGGAGGAAGAAGCGATGTCCTTCACGCGGTTCAAGATGTAGGAACGAACTAAAACAGAAAGGATGCGGACGAGCGGCCGCCTGCAAAAGAGCTAAAGTGAATTATTGCTGATGCTACTTGGAAGTTGGGACAAGATGACAAGATGCCGAGACGCAAAGCAGGAGTCGGAGGATATGAAAGAGACCAGAAGTGAAGTACTACGACCAGTAGAGTAGCGACTCCCACGTATATCGTAATTGCTAACTCCCAAGCGAGGACCTCTGGTGATGAATACCAGAGTACTAGTCCGGTATAGAAACTAACGAGGAGGAGTGCAGAAGCGAGCCAACAATGTACGTATGTAATGCACTGACACACAAAAAAAACAAGCAATTTGCCTGATCCCGAGAGAGTCTGCATCAATATTACGTAAATATTACCATAATAAGAATTTAAAATTGCGTACATGTAAACCATCAGGCCCCAAATGGAAAAGACGTCCGAGTTTATATTGGTTAATTAAGCCGGTGATCATACCTATATGGATTGAATTAAAAAAAATAAGTATACGAGCATATAGGCACGTACAAAAAGCAGCAAGATATAACCCAATAGATACAATTGCACGAGCTGGGAGTGCATCAGTCCAAAGTGCCACAGATGCAGGCCAATTTGCAGCCATTAGTGCAAAAATGGCCGCCATAATTGTAGCACCGCTGGCTGTATACACTGACCGTGTCCGAAGACGTTTCACCAGTTTCTCGAACGTGGGTCCATCGGTCCGGGCCGCGTCGAGTTCGTTCCACGACGTGCCTACCATATATAGGCAAACTGGCACAGCCACATATCAGAGATGAGTATTGCATAATATTTCACGTGCTTACCATTGGTGATGGGATTGATGAGACATATGGTGCTACGACGGAAATCGGATTGTGTCGACATGTCTCTTTGAGATTAAGATGCGGTAGGAGCACTCGTTGAAAAATCAGTTGTTTTCTCATTTCTTATATACTAGTAGCAGGCATACTTTATCAACAGAACACGATCTACACTTCTCGATCGAGCTTCTTCCTTAGTATCTCCGCGCATCATATCGCCGAGAATTCAGGACCACGCGTATGATGAAAGTTAGCATCTGGTTCTATTGTATACGAGACCCTAATAGCCGGTTCGATCAGACAGTACAAGCAAGTATACTACACAACTGGTATCCTCGACCTGGTGCGACGGACACCCATAAACGCTACACTCCAGCTGGCGAGCAGACGCATGTCCACCTGTTCACATCTTGACCTCTCGGTGTCACAAGAAGCCAGTGGGACGGCCTACAACGTCTTCACCGAGCTTCCCAATTTCTTGGAGTCCCTTGCCACCATCAATCCTCTCAAATACCTTCACTCCGCCACCTTCCACACCACCTACAACCAGATACTTATCTTCGTCACCTCCAAACACCATTCCCCGGACATGAATTAGCCCCGTACACACCTCGTTCACAAGCTCTGGCTGTCCCTCTCTGGCGGCAAGGAAGAATATTGCAATCGTGTCACCCTCTGAATGAAGGTCGTTTCTGTTCGATGTGTAGATGAATGTTTCAGGGAAGGATTCATTGGGTTCGGGTAGCAGAATTTCCACTGCCAACATGGTATCCGGTATCGGTAATGCAGAAAGTGTGAACAGAGAAGTAAGACGAGTAGGGGGCACCGGAAGCGGCGGGAAGGTATGTACAGCAAGCTTTGAGGTGAGCTCCAGTAGCGTGCAAAGGGTATTTCCTGTTATGATAATCAACAAGGTTTCAAGAGTAGAGGTTAGTGACACACCTCGAGCTGCGATATGTCGTGGGCTACCCCCTGCTTCAAAGTCAATGTGATCGTGAATGGACCACTTGCCATCATTCCATTTGGTGAGTCTCCAGACCTTGTCTGTACCTAAATCCGGGACAAGGAGCTCTTTCTCCGTTTGGTTCAGTGGATTGAGGATGATTTGATGGGGGTGGGATGAAGATTGACGAGCTTTGTTCCGACCTACATGCTCAAACGACATCGAAAGCGTCCACGGGTCAGTGGTGAGAGTATGTAAGGGGCGGATGTTGATATCAGAAGGCTCACGATTGTGCCCGAGGAGTACTAGATGCAGACGCGTCAAGTGAATTGAGAGGATGACTTCGGGACCTAGACATTGTAGAGAGCATCTTGAGTTCTGCCACATTCTGTCTGACAGTGCTAGTTCTGCCACATTCTGTCTGACAGTGCTAGTTCTGCCTACTACATTAGCACTGCGGGTACGGTCTTCCGTACCTGGGGTAGCATTATCTTATTGTCATCGTAAGCCCTGCAGTTAGGGTGCCATGACAGTCCACATAAGGAGTATTGCTAGAGAAAAACAGTCCAGATCAGCATGAGGAGACTCGCAAATCACGACAATGTAAATGAATGGCACTACAAGAGGGAAAGGTTGAGGAAGAACACTTACTCGTGCATCAGCCATTCATTCAATCGCCAGCTAACTCTGTCTATGACGTCCAAAGACAGGAGACGGTAGTAAAATGGTCTGTATTAGCCGGAGCAAGGAAGTAAAGAGTAGCCATATAAGAATGATAGTAAACTTCAGTGTGCGTTGACTTCAGACGAGTGGGATCAATAGACCTACTCAGCTACAAGCTTGCACAATTCACCCGAATAAAAGCATAGAGGTTTCAGGGTATCCGAGCCAGGTAGCGGTTTGTGGGCCTCAATCTCAAATATGGCATCTTGATGATACACTGGCGAGCTATCTTTGGAAAGACGATACTCGAAAGACCAGTATTCTTTCCGTGTCATATCAAAGCGCAACACCCAAATACGTCCTTCAGGATATAGGGTGTTCGCATCAGCATGGAGAACAAGCCAAAGTCATGGTCCACATACCCTGCGCAACAAATTCCACTTCAAATCTCCGTGCAATACGCAAACGTTTCTGGAACATCCTGCAGACGATATGAACATAGAAATGATTTTTGCTGCGGTCCGCAGTGTCCCATTCATAGACTTGGATATCATCTTGTGGACAACCCAGCATGCGTCTCGAAGACTTATCCTTGGCTGATGATATGCAATGAGTCAAATGACACACTCTCAGGACATTGTGTACCTGCACTTACGATCAAAATTGTCCGCCAAATTCAGTCGCATAAACGAATCGTGGTCGCTCGCTGTCACGCACGCAAGACGCAGGTCGGCAGAGCAAGCATGTGAGAATTTGGGAATGAATTTAACCAACTCCAAAAGGGCTTCTCGCCGGTGGTTTACAATCGCCCAATACAGCGCCGTGTGGCTCTCGATATTGCGTTTTTGAAGCAGGTTGGAGAACTCTGCTGTTGGGAGAGCAGCGGCACAGGATTTGATAATCGACAAAACAGAGGAAACGTCGAGATCAGGAGAGGAGACGATTTCATGGATGCGAGATAGAACTAGAGCTTGGCGGCATTTTTGCTTGGATTGTAGGAATGAAAATACTGATCGTTTACACCTAGTGGAATCTGTTGATACGGATGTATTAATCGCATCATACGAGGGAGGTGTGTCGGAGACTGTGAATGCACTGTTATCGAGGGCCACGGTAGCCATCGTGGAGGGCAAAAGGAGAGTAAGGTTGAAAATAGGGGCTTGCCAGGCATTAATATTCGCACGAGGGCTTACCAGTGCGCTTATTGCGCCCACTTACCAGCGAGCCACGGTCAAAGACATCCAAAGTGTCGAGGAGGGAATCATCGATGATCACTGGCCCTTATATTGCAAAATGTCTTACAGTGGGATGAGCGACGATCCTGAGTCCTAACTATAATATTCCACATGAAAGTTTTCACAAAGCGAGAATCTCCTATAGTTGGATAGTCTTTGTGTGATATCTGCTGATTCAGCGGTGAAGTTGTTGCCGTCTCATTCTTAATGGTAGTACCTTCAGCAGCGAATGCATGAGTTCGAGCCGTGATAGCTATAGTGTTGGAAAAACCACGCACCTGCGAGCTACCTACTCCGAGTTGTACAGTCCCAGACTGCACTAGTATCCTGTAGACGGATAACATACTGACTTCCTGTCAATGGATGGACAGTGTCATTGTTGAGCAGGACTCAAATGAAACGAAGAAACTTAGCAACTGTGAACGTGATTAGCGGGACTCGAGGTTGACAGAGAATGATTACTCTCACCAGACCGGGCATCGGCATCTGCGCAGACGACAATAGTTGCACCAACAGCATGGATAGTATAATTGTTCAGACATGTCACATGGCAGAAACGTTCGTTCTCTTCAACACATGTTGTGCCTTACCTGAAGAAATGGATATAAGATAAGAATAATTTGACGATTATGCTTACTTTTGTGGCAGTGATGTTGGAGATCCTGGTGACCAGCCCACGCGTGCAGCATTCAATGTTAGGCGGTGGCGAAATTGTCATTGAGCATGGCCGTTCGAAGCATCGAGCGGAGTTTAAACACCGCTCGGAGTCCCTTCTATCCAGGCCGAGCGGTGACAGCGCTTCTAGAGTCACCAATGAAAACATACCTTTGAATTAGCGTCATTTGCATCATTACCGACCTGCTTCCAGGTTAACGTTGATGTATCACACTCCTGTATTCAAGGCGATAGCACGTCAACAGAAGGTGGGTGTCCACGCGAGTACCCCAACACATTCCTTGGTGTCCGAATTGAGTTTGCTATTTGCCATGATGGCAAGAAGTTTGCCGGAACACAGTTGACCCAAGTACTGGACTTCCTTGCATCTGCCATGTTGCAGCGACCATCATTAATATTACTTGGACGAGATACTCCCCACTTTTTCCATGCCAGATGATGATCTCTCCCTTATCGCCACCGCTTGCTATCAATTGCCCACCTCGTGATACCGCACTTTAGGGCGATTCCCCTCCATCTTCTTCAATGTCTTCAAGTCCCACAGATGAAGCGTCCTGTCGTATGAGCCGGTGATCATTCGTTGTCCTTCAGGGGACATTACGACTGAGGTTATGGCACTTTCATGGTCTTCACTAAACTTTCGATTAGGAACGAGATCCGACATTTTACTGATGCCGTGTCGAACGTCGAGGTGGACTTCGCGGAGGGATTGTGGACACTGCCAAGTTGCTCATCGACTTCAAGTTGAATTATCCTAATGTGCATACTATCGGTAATAAATTCCGTCGTCAGTGATTTTCAAACACCTGAGATACTCTAGGCGACGCTGGATACATTATGTTCGGACCTGTGGCTCGGGAAGTGCTTGCCTTCGGAACTATTTCTTTCGCTGTGCTTGGTTCTGTGCGTCATTGAGTTAACTGGAATATGTCACAATTGAATTATCCCAAACAGGCCTCTGGACTACTTTCCAGCCGGCAGGCACTGTCAACGCTTTCGAATCAGGGCATGTGTGGTATGTATCTGGTTATCATCACTGGCGCCGTTGATTTCTTAATTTCGCTACCGCGGACATTGGATCGTTTGGCTTGGATGGATCTTCTTAGTGCAGCAGTCATTGCCATAGCTGGTTTCATTGCAATGATTGGAGCAGGGCTGAACCTAGTTCCCGGACGGTCTTTGACGGTAACAACCTCCAGTAACTTTTTCGATGCTTTAACCCGAGGACGCTATGAAGGTCAGAACGCTCCTGTACTCGATATTGTGACTGAAGGCCATTTTCAGTTTCTACAGGGCTTCGCTACAGTATTCTATGTTGTTTTCAGCGTAGTCATGTATGTCTACATTGGAAACACAGTCCAGTCCCCGGTCCTCTTTTCTCTTCCTCCGGTATGGGCAAAGGCAGCGTTTGCCATTGCTCTCCCAAATTTCCTGTTGTCAGTGATGCTTTGCTGTTTGGTCTAGTCCTCACTAATTCTTTATTCCGGGTTATACACTCATACAGCTACAAAGCTTGTGTTTGTTCGCATATTTCGTCATTCAGAGCACATCTATTCGCATACCTTACTCGGGTGGACGGTTTGGACTCTGCTGTGTTTTGCAAGCTCAGCTATGGCTGCAATTCTCGCCATCGCAGTTCCGATATTTTCCTACCTAATCAGCAACACGGCAGCCCTCTTTGCCGCATGGTACACGTATGGTTTGGCTGGATTCTTCTGGTTGCATGACGCATATCATCTCGAGGGTGGCATGGACGGGCTCAAACGACGACCAATCGGGACAACACTCGCAGTGTTGACTATTATTTCCGGCACTTTCATCTATGTCGCTGGGACTTATGTGTCGATAAAGGTCAGTGTTCGTGTCTTCGCATCTGACACTCGTCTCACTGTCAGTGGTTGATGATAGCTCATCGCTGAAGCCTACGCCAATGGCCAAGTTGGGAGACCGTTCGTTTGCTAGAGGAGGTTTCGTTGTGGCGTAATGTGTAGTCCGTGCCGAGTCCTTTAAATTTAACTTTTAGAGCTTTTCCTAGGACACGACCAGCTTGCATCATCAATCATGATAGTTCATGATACATGCTCGATGCGTTCCAAATGCGCTAGTTGCCGAACTGATCTGGGACATTCATATCAGTGATTTTAGCTTCATAATGATAGGTGGCTGTGGACACGGTGTTCGACTCAGACTGGGAAGAATGTCTTTGACGGTGGCTCGCTGGTAAGGTAGTAGGCGCAATAAGCGCACTGGTAAACTCTATTATGTAAAAGCGTCAACCGTCTCCCCAGTCTTTGTAATTTTCAAATTTCTCCCCTTATATGATGCTCACTTTTTTTTGCGGTGAATTTCGTCGGATTTCCAAATTCTCACTCATTTTCGCCGGGGAATATGTTAGCTCAAAGTCCGGTGTTGTATTCGAGAGATTTTGGGACAGGCTTTGGAATTTCTCTATATTTAGCTGGAGGAAGATCGACGTGAGAATTCATCTCATGGTTTACGTGAATGATGCAATGACCGGCCTGACCCGGAGACGCTCGGGGATGCTAGGTACGGTACTACGGGTAGAGTACTCTATCGAGGATGCCGTTTACAAGCGAAGCACAGAACCTGCGACTGTCTTTGGCCTCCTTGAGGCCCTCTCATTGCATTCGAATGTGGTGACTAGGGGAGAGTCGAGACTACCTCAGGCCAACTCAGGCTGTGAGCGGCTCGCGATTAGTAAAGAAGCCTCGTTACGCAGCTCAAGCGCTCAAGTACTATGAGCTGTGGCCGCGTGGCCGCCTGCGGGCGTCAGCGCTTCAGCCTTGTTGGAGCCTTTCACCTCGTTGCCTGCAAGATTAAGGGATGTCAGTATCAGACGATCCAACGGTTCCCGCCCAAGGGCAACAAGAAAAGTATGTCTTTTGCCTTCCACAAGATCTATGAAGTATTGAACATGTGTTGTGACTACAGTTCCGAATTCTTGTTGCGCAAAATTCTCAATGTGCTAGAGCAGTCAACCATTGCTAAGAAACCGCTCCCGTCGGATGACTGGAATGGTTTTTGGGATGTATACGATCAGGAAGCAGAAGAGTTTGACAAATCATTCGTCGAGAAGTATCTCTCGGATTTGAGCAATAGTCTAGTTTTCCTATGCAATGAGTCTCTGTCTGTTGACCGAGCGTATCTTTCAGGCGGGTCTTTTTTCGGCCGTCAGTGCCACTTTCTTAGGGATAATGCTCGCAAACCTGAGCCCCGATCCCAGCGACACGACAAACGCCTTATTAATGATGATATACCATCAACTCAATAACACTGCATTCCCAGGGCAAGTCCCGAGCCTTCCCTCGGGGAATGGCCCCCCTTGGATTATCATCTGGACCCAGACCCTCTTGTATGCTAGTCTCTCAACCAGTCTTCTGGCTGCTCTTGGAGCTGTCTTGGGCCAGCAGTGGCTGAGGGACTACCGAGACAATACATGAGGACCTCGTGATTTTCGCCGCATCAGGCGGCAGCTCAAAGTCAACGGGCTCGAGACGTGGCACTTTGAAACTGTCCTTCGTGCTATACCTGCATTACTGCAGCTTTCTCTGCTGCTCTTCGGTACGGGTCTTGGGGGGTATCTGTGGGCACAACAGCACATTGTGGCTGCCGTTGTCGTTGGAACAACGTGCTTCGGTGTCTTTTTCTATATCGTGGCCTCCATCAGCAGCTACCTTTATGTTAGCTGCCCCTTTACAACACCAGCTTTTTCACTCGTATATCATAGCCTGAGCGCGGTTCGATTGTTCGTAGTGATCTACCTCAATCGTCCGTATAACTGGCTACTTTGCACCATCATTATGCAACTCAACAAGTGGAAAGGTGTGCGGGGTATCATCACTCGTCTATTGATACTTCCCATGTACCTGGTGTGTACTATTCCGCTCAATCTACTATGGTATATTCTTGCGGGGGCGTTATATTTCTTAACGCCTCCTGATGGCCAACCAGTTGTCGATGTATCACGCTCCGTGCTCTGGCTTTGTCAGACATCCCTCGATCCCGATGCCGTATTCACCGCTGCGAAAAGGATTCCTGATGTTACTTTCCCCACTGATGGTCTCGAATCATGGGCGGCTTGGGGAAAACTTTTCAGGCTAGTTCAGGACGGGCTCAAACATCCCTCTCCATCCCCTGCGGTATTCATATATGCGAAAGCATTGACTTCTCTGTATTTTACTGCCCGCACAAGCAAGAATCGGTTTTCACCCTTCCTTAGCCAAGTCAGCTTTGCAGATGTAGCAACACTCCGTGCAGATGTGGACTCCAGTCACGAAGCGACGTCCTTGTGCTTTGTGCTGACTGTGCTTCGGCAATGGTTTAACGTCGTTAGTGACTCATGGTTTCGTGGGATACCAGAAGGAGAGGATATCATCAACGCGCTTGGCCCAGCCATCAATCTCGATGACGTACCCAACGATACTCTTGAATGGTTCTTATATCCTCTATTACACGGCCTTTGCGGAGCGCCACTGCCATGGTTCAAGGAGGACAACCATCGTTGTCACTTGTTTTTGCAACCCCTGGCGATCTATATTATCCGCAGGCTGCTGCCTATCGATCGACCGCGTCCACTTCCTTCCCACAAAACCATTATGAAATGTCTTCAAATCATGATTGCGATCCTCGATTGGCAGTCGATCGATCTCGAGGCAATCAAAACTACAGATAATAGGTACTAGACCTGACCTCGATTTGTGATAAAGGCTGATCATCGAATGCGTGCAGTGACAACATTGAAACAATCTTCCCCCGTGTCCTTAATCTTCTGCTACGTACAGATATCACAGGCGCAATTCAAGCTGATCCCATCGATGTACAAGATCCCGAAGTGACGCGTTCCAGCGTGTCTTCGCGTGTCCGTCAATTCATTTTCTCAAAATCACCAAGGTCGCGCACTTTTTCAGCATATGAGGTCTCGCATCTCAGAGCCATACTGGAGCCTTTAGCACGCCTTGCCAGTGAAACAGAATTCAAACATCATTTCCAGAATAACGAGGTGGAAACATGGAGCACCAGTGTCTTCGAGGCCACCGTACCTCGAAATATTGAAGACGCATCTACCCCAGCACTCTGCCTTTATGTGTGCTGCTCCATTGATAACCTTTTCAATTCCGAGGTTATATACTCTGAAACGATCTGGAGTTCATGTCGGGCAAATGTGGACGCTTCCGTGCTGTTCAATTATCTTGATCAAGCCCATACCCGATCCTGGCAGCCAGACTTGAATTCGGACACTGCATCCCATCTCCCTCCCCGCAGGTGGCTGGACGCGGATTTCCAAAATAACATCGCAACTGCATATGCATTGCTGGTGTTTTCCACTGACAATGCCATCTTCAATTCCGGGACAACAACTACGATAGTGCGCAAAATTATCTCCGCAATGCAGCACGAAGAATCCCCTCTTTACAGACACGTTGGGCTGAAGGTAGCTCACGTTATCAGAGAGCATCTGGTGAACATCACAGATGATGTCGGCGATGAACTCCTCCCAGCCTTGCGTTCCGCAACCTTTCAAAATATCCAGAGCGATACCATCACGCCAGGTGACACATCACCAGATCGATCCATCTATCCAAAGCGCGATCTTCATTATTTAGAAGTACTTTTCGCCCTTGCAAATAGCGAGTATTGGCTCTCGCAGCTCCGCCAGGACAACTGCGACCACATGCAGCGGTGTATTTCCATAGCCAAAGCTATCCATACACCGTCTCATAATGAAGACTACAGGGAACTCTCACTACGACTAGTCCTGATATTTGCCCGCATCGCCTGCGCTGACAATTATGTTTGGCCAGAGTGGAACGCCTGGTTTAAAGAGCGCCCGGACAACCAGGCGCTGCTCGTCAAACAAGCTTGGGAGCCACAAATGCTCAGCGAGTGTCCTGACGTCATCCCTCTTCTCATCGCGTTCACGAACAAGATGCTGTCGAGTCTTAGAGGTGTGAGCGAAGAAGGCTTGGCGATGCTTCCTAAGGACACAGTGATTGCGGCCTTGGATGGCATTTCGAAACAGGTGCAGATGGTGGTGGACGCTCGTATGAATGTAGACGAAACGCAGAATGCTTCGGAGGTCCTCGGTACGGAGGTGGCGGACGCTCATATGAATGCAGACGAGACGCAGAATGCTTTGAATGTCCTCGGTACGGAGGTGGTGGACGCTCATATGAATGCAGACGAGATGCAGAATGCTTCGGAGGTCCTCGGTACGGAGGTGGTAGATGCTCACATGAATGCATATGAAAGGCAGAAAGTTTTGGAGGTACTCCTCAAGGAGGTGGTAAAATCGAGGGACGAGTTGTTGAGGCATTTCGGTGCGTAGTCATTGATATTGAACAAGCGCTGGCATAGGATCTTAATTATACATAAGCTACTGAGATAACACTCTTGACGTCAAAAGCTCTTCAGCCGTGTCGATGATTTCCACTCCCGCCTTATCCATCTCAATCCATTCCAGACCGTTATCAGACACACTCCTGACCGCATCCCTGATCACAAATGTCCTGAACCCGTATTCCTTTGCATCGAGTGCAGTAGACTTGACGCAATAATCTCCCGCTATGCCGACCACGAAAACATTTGATATCTCTTTGTTCCTCAGCTTGTCCTTGAGTCCAGTGTTCGTGAGTCCCCACGGGTCTTCGAATGCAGAATAGCACTCGATCCCGACATCGCAACCTTTACGGACGACCTCCAGGCCCTCGTGCTCCAGGCCGTCCACAAATGCTACCCCAAAAGTGTCCTGAACACAATGAACAGGCCACAGCACCTGTTCTAGCCCTTCAAGGGACCTTTCATCCTCAAGCGTCCTCCCTGCTACCAACTCTGCGGGAGGAAAGATGACGATCTGGTCAAATTCCTTCTTGCCCTCGTGATTGCGCGCAAAGGATATGTGGTTGGCCGGGTGATAGTCTTGGGTGGCAATTTTAATGGCGAATGGGAGCTTCAGGAGTGCGTTGATGGGAGTGATGACCTGCTCTGCATCGCGGACGGCGAGACTGCCGCTGAGTCCTGACGAGGTTGTTTTGTACGTCGACGATGAGTATGGCAGAGTTGGAGGGTTCAATGTTTGCAAGGTCTAGTGGCATCTTGCTATCAGTGTGGCCTATGGTGAGTTGCTATTGCGTTGCAAGTAGTACTGATGTGGCTTATTGATCCAATGGATTGTCCTGTTAACGGAACATACTTCATTTCGGCTGTAGTAAGTATATATCAAATCACTTTCCTTCGCAAGGTTGTGTTAGAAAACTGAGCATGTGTAGATCTGGTCGACAATGTACATTGTACAAACGCATTGCAGCAGACGGTACGTTATTCATCATGCCAATCCAGATTCCACTGTATTCCGCAAACAAAACATTCATCAAGATACTAATAGTACATTCGTTCTGCCAATCTGAGTCATACGCCATCTTTCAACGACTGCTTTGGTACGAGAGCGGTGTTCAAGCAATGGTGATGTGAACGACGAAGGACTTTCCGTCGGCCGCCTCCTGGACGTACTTCACATTCACTTTGGTTCCCTTTGCGCTGGTCTTCTCCATCTCAGACAGTTGCTCCCACAGCAACTTGTTCTGAGCGGTGCCGTCTGTGTAGTACTCGGGGTGGATCTTCATTCCCGTGTCTCCAGGTGCGAGGTCAGTGCTGATGTCGCACCACCTCTTGTAGTTGTGGACGCCTAGCATCACGAGAAACACCTCCCCGGTACCGCACATGAAGCGGAGCCCACCAGACGTACCGCTGCCACCCATGGTGAGTGTCTGGATCGAGTCTGTGTTGGACCACCTCCCGCCATTGGCGTAGTGCCACACCGTTTTCTCGGCGAGCGTGAAATTGGAGTTGTTGTTGGTAGCGTCGATGACTCTGACTACGATTGTGTAAGACATGTTGGTTCTGTGGGGTCATGTCAGACAACGATGTCACGATGATATGCAAGGCTGAAATCTAACCTGATTGTGAATAGGACGGGATCTGGAGAAAACAGTGTAGTACATCGCAGGCTTTTTATACGACGAGCACTCGTTGCCGGCGTTAGCCCTGACCCTGGACAGTCAGGGCGAGTCCCCCAGCTGTTGGTCCAACGTGGGCCAGGTGTGATGACAAGTGTTGTGGCCTCATGATCATGAGGGCATGTTGGCTTGCTTCCATTCATACGTGCCGGTATGTCATTCCATCTCCGAGATGTAACAGCAGGAATCACCGCATAACTGACAATTGCCTCGGAAGGTTAGGTTTGAACGCTAAGAGAGACCCAGGCGAGCTGGTCACTCTTTCGGTAATGGTGAACATACGGCAAACTGCTGAGCTTCCTTTATTCAACATTCGCCTGCCAAGCAGAATTTCAATTTTTTTTTTGCTAGTAGCGGTGAGTCGAAGCCACTGTCTGCATGTAAATCATCTGACTATGCTACCGAACTACTGAGCGCCCCTTGAACAAGAAAATATGATATTGGGGATAACTCTCCGCCCCGACGAGACTCGTGTCTGAATTTATTGACTGAACCCTGACTTGCGCTCCTTCTTTTCTTCGATTTGCACTGATTGGGGATTCAGACTGGGGCGAACATCAATTGTGCCTGGCAGAAATCGCTGGCACGGCCCCGGAGTGGCCATTCCCCGGACGTTCTCGCTCTCGTAAGTAACGAGAGTATACAAGCACGAGTTCAGTCCATGCAACGCCGAATGGAGTCGTGAGTCATCGGGGACAATTGGAGAAAAGAAAAGACACTCGAGTTGCGCCTTTACTACAACGATGACCAGACTGGGAGGAAATACGAACGCTCATTTCCGCTATAAAAAAAGGAGGTGTGAAGCATGCGCAGCCATATGTCAAAGACATTTTACCAATTGAATAGTATTATGATTCGAAAATGGCCTTGAAGCTTGAACTACTTGCAATAAGATCTCAAATACCTCAATGAACCGAATTTGATCCCGAAGTCGGACGCTATCAGTGTTACATGCTATAGTCAGATTCAGAAACACTTGGATATTCGCCTCGTCTCCCCAATATCATATTTCCCCATTCGTTGACATGAAGGGGGGTGATTGAATTCGGCGGAGTACTTACATAAATAATTCATATGCAGGCCAAAATTCCCCACTCCTATGTACGTCAGACTGGTCGCAGTGGCTTCAACTTACCGAGAGCAGTTCGATTCTCCGGAATTCTGTTCTATAGGTGGGTGTTGAATAATTTATAAGAATGACGTCCGGTCAGGTGAAAAGTAATGGAGTTCCAAGAAGCCGAAGGATCTTGCAACATCGAGATTTAAAATTTATTTTCGTTCACTCAGGATCTTAGGGGTTCGAACGTTCAACGTTGCGTACGTCAAATGTTGAACTTGTACGTAAATTCATTATGGATGATCGTATGGAAGCTCAGAAGTATTGCCGTATATCCATCGTTTCGTGACCAGCGTGCCTGAGCATCTCTTATGTAGCCTCCAAAGAAAAGAAGTGGTTCAGTTTTGAGATCCGAAGTAGTCGTCAGTCATGCGGTGACTCCTGCTGTTAGCATCTCGGAGATAGATTATCATACCAGTACGTATGAACTGAAGAAGCTCAACATGCCCAAAGGCTGTGTGATAATGCATAAGTCGCAACATGTAGCGGTAACAAATAAAACAATCACCTGTGAACGATCTCATTGAATGATCGAATAGGAAACATCGATCATGAACGTTCTACCTCGCTATTTTGCGCTTCTTCCAAAAATTTCTCAGTGCTTGAATGACGGAATACTTCTCCACGAGGTTGGGACGCTTGGCCTCTTGTAGCATACCGTTCAACCGTTCATCGATGCATCGTCCATGATCCAGGATGGCGAACATTGTCTCGTCATCTTCAATCCCAATTTCCTCAAGGTATCGAGTGGTCCATTTCCCCGTGAACATGTACCGCTTCGTTTCGAAACGTCCTGAATATGCTGCACGTTGTATTTAAACCCGGCTGACAGGTTGGGCACATATGAGACTGCAACAACATGATTGAGGAAGCGATCGACTCGCCACGATTTGATGAACGTTTTTCTAGATGTTCGGAATTGCTTATCCTGCACGAGTCATCGACGTATAAATCGTGGAGGTCCTGATAAGATCTACCGCCAGCTATACAGATCTTCCAGAGTTGACATTACGCGAGCGCCAGAAGCCTCTGAGAAGGCGCTCCTCTTCGGACCTTCACTAGAAAGATGCGTCGATAACCACCGTGGCCATACTTCGATGCTTTAGCCAAGCAAGGCGGGGCCGACTTGGGCGAAGGGTGACACATTTGTCGTCGAGAGCGTAACCTCGGAGATAGACTAATGCACCTTCTCGTCGGATCACTAGAAACATCTAGTATTGATCAGAGTACAATCCTAGCGCATGATAGCGATGACTCTAGAGTGTCGATTTCAACGTTTCACGCTAGTACCTGGGTAGCACCGTATTAGCTTAGTCAGCCGCCCAGTTTCTCCGGTAGGCTATATCGTCACTTGACACGCCGCGGCAGGCACAGGGTCGCGAATATAGTGTTTCAACGCCAATGAACCACTCCCAGTTCGGACCAGTCTCCCCTAATAGTGGCCAGAGTCCAGACCATAGAGGAAGACAGCCGTTCCACTAAATTGTACTTGAAGGACTTGGGTACTCGTGCACTGGCCGCGTACTTGCACTGTATGCCATTCGGACTGATCCGTGAAGTACGCCTCTTCGCTTGAACGAAGTGTTGTAGTATATATATGCTTGATTCAGGCTGTCCTGTCACGACGGGCTGGGAAGCTGTGAGCGCTTGAGCCTGTGACCAATATTGAAAAAAAGCAGAAGTTCGCTCGTAACTTAATCAACACAGGATACTGCCATACTGGCAGTGGCAGAAAAGAAAAGTTCCAGAATGTCATACCGTGTCTTTGGATTCAACGAGAGTTCTTTTTAGCCGATTTACGAATGTTTTACCGAGTGAGAACATTTCGCAAGGTTGTGGCAAGAAGAAAGATGCGTCGGTCACGGTGTGGCATGTAAACTTGAACTGCACGGTGCAGTTATGTAAGTCAAGCTTACTTACTGGCAGCCATGTTAACTACTATGGCCAGCCACGCGCAACGAGCTTTTCTTTTCTTTCCTTTTCGACGCTGTCTCCACACTCGAAGACGAAATCGACCGTCGCTACCTTTGACTTCGCGTGCGAATCCGTTCATCCCACAACTACCACATTCACGTCTTTCTCGTGCTTTATCCCAAGCGTTTGTCTGCTGCCTTCCATTCACAATCGTGGACCGCTAACGCTCAACAAGACAGCATAAATGAAACATCATATCCTCCACGATCCATTTTAATTGTGAACAAGCTTCGAACTGAGCCTGTGATTGGGGCAATTGATGAACTACTGGAGTACGCAATAGTCTTCCTGTGTTATTTCAGCCGATTAACAGGTGGTGCCTAACATACAACAGTCATGTAGCGAAGACGTATCCGGGTGTGAAAGTGTTCTCTGAAGACCGCCCAGACATTCCATTCGGCGCACAAGTGTGGCGTCCCGGTGAGTAGATTGTACACGCCGAAACAACCTGTTTGAATAAATCCATCACAGGGCCTCATGCCGAGAAAATTGATCTTGTCGTGACTCTTGGAGGTGACGGTACCATTCTCCATGCTGCGTCACTCTTCAGTCTTGCAGCGGTCCCTCCTGTGCTAAGTTTCTCAATGGGCATTGGGCACCCTTGGCTTTCTCCTTCCATTCCGTATGTGCACACGCCAATGCCAGGACACCACTAAACATGCGATAGATATCGATGGCTTTGTGAAAGGGCTCGAAGCAGTGTTTCAGGGCAAGGCAACCATCCTCAATCGCATGCGTTTGTCGTGCATGTTCTATGACAAGGATCGCAAAAAAATAGGGTTCGGTGACGATGGTCGGGATAAAACAGTGCAAGTATGTACCCACGATGCTGACACAATTCTAGAATGGCAAGTCACGAATGAGATTGCGCTACACCGTGGGTCAAGTCCACACCTTAATACCATCGATATTTGTGTAGACGGGCAACATCTCCCGAGCACCGTGCGTAACTGATTTCCGCAGTCTGATGGGGTGATTGTGTCAACGCCTACGGGATCAACTGCATACTCTCTCTCAGCTGGAGGGCCTATCGTATGTCCACGAAGTTTATCGTTTAGACCTCTCGTCTTCCCCTCATCCTCATCTTTAACACTGCGTGTGAGTCATGCGTTTGGTGTATCATGACAACACGTGGGAGCTATTACTCAAACGTTTGATTGACACTATTAGATCAGTGATCGTCCCCGTGCTGCGGCTGGCGTTTCGATGGACGGGCGTGTATCGCATATTCTTAATCCAGGGGAGTCAGTTATTATACAGGCTTCACTATACTCAGTGCCTTGCATTAACCGCTCCTCCATATCCGATTATGGAGACGAACAACCAGGCGAAGAAGGCGTTGGGCCTGGAAAAGAGGATGATTGGGTCCGGGACATCAATAATGTGTTGTAGTACAATGCGACATTTAGGAGCAAGGCACTTCTTCGTTACAGTGACAAACACTAGGTTCGAGATAAGCGCCCGAAGATGACGTTCTTCCGTTACATGCTGTATTTGATGTTGGCTACGAAGGAAATCGAGCGCTTGGGTTGGTGCTTGATCTTGGGTCGAGCGCTTTGAGTACTTAGTCGTGTAGTCATACACTGTTATTTGCAGTGCAATGCCAGTGGCAAACTATCAAGCATTTTAGATGATCAAATATTCTGTGATGGACTCGTCAACGTTTGTGCGCGGTTGATTACTCGCGACCTCGTCTGGATACAGTTTGTTGATTAAGTCCAGAAACAAGTGAACTTAAAACCCATGCATTGAGAAGCGCGCATATCAAGCAATGTATGTGATAGGAACATAATGATGGAAGCATAATAACACAGATCTATCCATGTCCATTTGAATTACATAAAAGAGTCTCGGTCATGAATATGCATTGGGCATTGAGCGTTTTGCTCCCCTAATGGATTCAATAACGCCAAGATCCGTGATTTTTTTTTGGTTTTTAGCGGAAATGAGCGTTCGTATTTCCTCCCAGTCTGGTTATCGTTGTAGTAAAGGCGCAACTCGAGTGTCTTTTCTTTTCTCCAATTGTCCCCGATGACTCACGACTCCATTCGGCGTTGCATGGACTGAACTCGTGCTTGTATACTCTCGTTACTTACGAGAGCGAGAACGTCCGGGGAATGGCCACTCCGGGGCCTAGGGGTAGAAGTGCCAGCGATTTCTGCCAGGCACAATTGATTGTTCGCCCCAGTCTGAATCCCCAATCAGTGCAAATCGAAGAAAAGAAGGAGCGCAAGTCAGGGTTCAGTCAATAAATTCAGACACGAGTCTCGTCGGGGCGGAGAGTTATCCCCAATATCATATTTTCTTGTTCAAGGGGTGCTCAGTAGTTCGGTAGCATAGTCAGATGATTTACATGCAGACAGTGGCTTCGACTCACCGCTACTAGAAAAAAAAATTGAAATTCTGCTTGGCAGTTGAATAAAGGAAGCTAAGCAGTTTGCCGTATGTTCACCATTACCGAAAGAGTGACCAGCTCGCCTGGGTCTCTCTTAGCGTTCAAACCTAACCTTCCGAGGCAATTGTCAGTTATGCGGTGATTCCTGCTGTTACATCTCGGAGATGGAATGACATACCGGCACGTATGAATGGAAGCAAGCCAACATGCCCTCATGATCATGAGGCCACAACACTTGTCATCACACCTGGCCCACGTTGGACCAACAGCTGGGGGACTCGCCCTGACTGTCCAGGGTCAGAGCTAACGCCGGCAACGAGTGCTCGTCGTATAAAAAGCCTGCGATGTACTACACTGTTTTCTCCAGATCCCGTCCTCTTCACAATCAGGTTAGATTTAGATTTCAGCCTTGCATATCATCGTGACATCGTTATCTGACATGACCCCACAGAACCAACATGTCTTACACAATCGTAGTCAGAGTCATCGACGCTACCAACAACAACTCCAATTTCACGCTCGCCGAGAAAACGGTGTGGCACTACGCCAATGGCGGGAGGTGGTCCAACACAGACTCGATCCAGACACTCACCATGGGTGGCAGCGGTACGTCTGGTGGGCTCCGCTTCATGTGCGGTACCGGGGAGGAGTTCCTCGTGGTGCTAGGCATCCACAACTACAAGAGGTGGTGCGACATCGACGTTAACCTCGCACCTGGAGACACGGGGATGAAGATCCACCCCGAGTACTACACGGACGGCACCCCTCAGAACAAGTTGCTGTGGGATCAACTGTCTGAGATCGAGAAGACTAGTGCAAAGGGAACCAAGGTGAATGTGAAGTACGTCCAGGAGGCGGCCGACGGAAAGTCCTTCGTCGTTCACATCACCATTGCTTGAACACCGCTCTCGTACCAAAGCAGTTGTTGAAAGATGGCGTATGACTCAGATTGGCAGAACGAATGTACTTTTAGTATCTTGATGAATGTTTTGTTTGCGGAATACAGTGGATTTACGTGATGAATGACGTACCGTGTGCTGCAATGCGTTTGTGCATGATATATGGAATGCTATCGACCAGATCTACGCGTGCTTCAAGCCTTTTGTTTGGTACTCCATAGCCAAAGCTATCCATACACCGTCTCATAATGAAGATTACAGAGAACTCTCACCACGACTGGTCCTGATATTTGCCTGCATTGCTTGCGTTGACAATTATGTCTGGCCAGGGCGGAACGCCTGGTTTGAAGCGCGCCCGGACAACCAGGCGCTGCTCGTCAAACAAGCTTGGGAGCCACGAATGCTCAGCGAGTGTCCTGACGTCATCCCTCTTCTCATCGCGTTCACGAACAAGATGCTGTCGAGTCTTGGAGGTGTGAGCGAAGAAGGCTTCCTAAGGACACAGTGATTGTGGCCTTGGATGGGATTTCGAAACAGGTGCAGATGGTGGTGGACGCTCGTATGGATGTAGATGAAATGCAGGATGCTTCAGAGGTCCTCGGTACGCGGAGGTGGATGCTCGTATGAATGCGGACGAGATGCAGAATGCTTCGAAGGTCCTCGGTACGAAAGTTGTGGATGCTCGTACGAATGTAGATGAGATGGAGAATGCTTCGGAGGTGGTAAATTCGAGGGATGCATCGATGAGTTGTTGAGGCATTTCGGTGCGTAGTCATTGATATTGAACAAGCGTTGGCATAGGATCTTAATTACACATAAGCTACTGAGATAACACTCCTGACGTCAAAAGCTCTTCAGCTGTGTCGATGATTTCCACTCCCGCCTTGTCCATCTCAATCCATTCCAGACCGTTATCAGACACACTCCTGACCGCATCCCTGATCACAAATGTCCTGAACCCGTATTTCTTTGCATCGAGTGCAGTAGACTTGACGCAATAATCTCCCGCTATGCCGACCACGAAAACATTTGATATCTCTTTGTTCCTCAGCTTGTCCTTGAGTCCAGTATTCGTGAGTCCCCACGGGTCTTCGAATGCAGAATAGCACTCGATCCCGACATCGCAGCCTTTACGGACGACCTCCAGGCCCTCGTGCTCCAGGCCGTCCACAAATGCTACCCCAAAAGTGTCCTGAACACAATGAACAGGCCACAGCACCTGTTCTAGCCCTTCAAGGGACCTTTCATCCTCAAGCGTCCTCCCTACTACCAACTCTGCGGGAGGAAAGATGACGATCTGGTCAAATTCCTTCTTGCCCTCGTGATTGCGCGCAAAGGATATGTGGTTGGCCGGGTGATAGTCTTGGGTGGCAATTTTAATGGCGAATGGGAGCTTCAGGAGTGCGTTGATGGGAGTGATGACCTGCTCTGCATCGCGGACGGCGAGACTGCCGCTGACGAAGTCGTTCTGTACGTCGACGACGATTATGGCAGAGTTGCAGGGTTCGACGTTTGCAAGGTCTAGTGGCATCTTGTTATTGGTGTGGCCTATGGTGAGTTGCTATTGCGTTGTACACTGATGCACATGGCTTATCGATCCAATGGATACGGAACATCTTTCATTTCGGCTGTAGTAAGGATATATCAAATCACTTTCCTTCGTGTGATTGGGCCAGGTGAAATTGACGCGGTCCTGCCGCGCCTGCCGCGATCGTGACGCGCCTGTGACGCGGCACTGTAACAAATTCTAGGGTACAGATCATCATGCACATGTTTAAACAACTCCATAAACACTTTGAATCCTCGTTAATGATCAACATATGAGTGTCTGCCTGCGTACAGGTTCTACAGTGCTGTATTCACTTCTCACCAAATTTACAGTCCTTGTCCTCTGTAAATTGTATCATGGCCTTTCTCGGGAGTGCTGTGATTACGTGATTCATGCCCAAACTCGTGTTCCCCAGCCGTACTAGGACCACCAGCCTCCGAGCTCTCTTTTTTGACGACATAATGCTAGTTCCTACACAAGCTTTTGCTAATCTTAACTTTTACAGAATTATTCCCACTCAATGCCATATATGCATAGAGCTCTGCAAGAAGCACGAGAAGATCTTACACGGCAGGAAAACAATATCGAGATGCACTGTTTGAGCTCTGTGCCGAAATTGGTGTGGCGAACTACGTCCCAAGGGCATACATGTGCAACGGGTCTGCGACAATCCGATGCAATGATGAAATGATCTAGTATCCTCTCCGCTGTTACTAATTTTCAGCGATTGATGGCGGGCCGTCACCATGGTTCGGTAGATGTTCACTGAAGAGTGGTGAGCTCCGAGAAGCCACAGCGTCCATACTTGGAATCAAGCTCGCGTTTTACCCCCGGGTGTCCGTCATCAACATCCTGGAAACTCCACAAAATCAAGCCCCTCTTTGCCTTACCTGACTGACGTTAGGACGACATCATACCTGACTCGCCTCATGGACAAGCTGCTGGGAATGCAACAAAATGGATGAAGCAACAAAGAACCGGGATATTCCTGAATCCTGACAGGTCGAGAAAGATTTCGAGGGAGTGAAGTATCATTTTCAGGCCAACTTTAAACGTCTTCCTGTCTACTATGCATGAATGTATTCTCATTTCCCCTACCGATGTCAACGACATCTTAAATGGTGCTATTGTAGCGGTCAAAATACGGCACTGGCCCAAAGGTGTGAATGGGAATAATTTTAAGGGTAGTCTCATCTATGGCTCGGGTGTACATATCATAAAATGGTTGGCACGTCGTTGTAGTCAACAGATACTAGAACGTTTGCAATAAAATGAAGGTGCAGAAAATAAAACCGCGTGCGACGGAGCAAGGTGAAAGTAAGGCCAAACCCTAATATCAAATGTGTGTGTTTGCTTAGGTTTGCTTGTTCTGCTGCTTTAGCCTTTGACCGAGTATAGCCTGACAGTAGGTAGATGCATGCACATCTTTTATGGCGAGCAAGCGTGTTTACTATGAATTTTCGCAGTCATGTCTACCTTGTCGCAACGGATAAGAACTTGGTCAGCGAACCATTCAGAAGCAGCCAAGCCTCCATTCGAGAGTGAAGTTGGAAAGGAACAGGACCAGTCGCAGGTAGTGCATGATATGCAATTGGAAGCTACGCAGCAAGCAAAATTGTTCGATGCTCAGATACACAAGCTGAAGGTATGTTCGGCATGTTGTGGTTCTTTCGATGCCTCATGGTAGCCCGCCCCAGAAGGAACGTCGGTTCTTCGCCAAAGCTCGTTTCCTGTTCCCTCTCGGAATCCTACGTATGTCATTTGTATGCTATCTCCTGAGATTTAATGACATTGTCGCATAGTTGGGATACTATTAGGCTTCATTCTTATCCAGCCTTCAGACTTCCAAGATATTCACAGCAACCTACTTCTCCTCATGGAAGAGTACGACATCTCGCTGAGAATACCGGATATTGATTTATCCCGCGTCGAATTAGAATGGAGACGTTTTCGGAGCAATATCCCAGAGGTTTGGAAGCTGAACAACGATGGACGCGAGTTTAAGGTCGGGGAGGCGATGAAGGCGCGAGGCTTGACGGCGCACTATCCTATTGTGCTTATACCTGGCATTGTATCTACCGTAAGCCACACTGTTAATCCGCGTTCAATTGATGTTTTGATCACTGTCCAGGGTTTGGAATCTTGGTCTACTTCGCCCGAGTATCGACCTTTCTTCCGCGAAAAACTCTGGGGAGGCTTCAATATGGTCTCACAAGTGATTTTCAATCGTGAAAAGTGGATTTCAGCGATGATGCTTGATCCCGTCACTGGTCTCGATCCTCCAGGTGTCAAAATTCGAGCTGTAGAAGGAGTAGGTGCCGCAAGTAGCTTCATGACCGGTTATTGGCTTTGGTGCGTCTCTTATAACGCGACATTCTTTTGAGCGTTGAAAGTAACATCATATGTTCAGGTCCAAGATCGTGGAGAATCTTGCTGTAGTAAACTATGACACGAACAATCTTCACTTAGCTCCATATGACTGGAGGCTCTCCATGTGGAATCTCGAAGAACGAGACGGGTACTTCTCGAAGTTGAAAGCTACAATAGAAGGATTCAAGTATGGTACCCCACATTTGAACATCGTACCAGAAAAGTTCATATTCTATGACAGGAAACGACAAGGCAAGAAGGCCATCATTGCTGCGCATTCAATGGGTAGCACAGTACGTCCTAGTTTCTTTTGTTGCTGTCACCTTGTCGACTGTAGCACTTTTAGGTCATGCTGGTAAGTCGAGCCCCTCAGATAGTTCCTCCTGCAAAACTGACTATTCGATGAAAGTACTTGTAGGTCTCAGATCTGTTCGGTTGGCGATTTCTTTTTGACCTCTTGCTTCTAGCTTCAAATGGGTTGAGTCTCCCGAACACGGGGGAGGTGGATCACATTGGGTGGAGGTCAGCCCCTATCCTCCTTATAACACGAGACCCTAAAAAACTCTGCTTAGAATCACATTGAGTCCTATATTTCCATCGCAGGGACGCATCTCGTAAGCTATTCCTTTCCTCACATTAACGATCACTAATTGCATTCCCAGGGCGTGGTAAATCCTGTTTCATTGCCTTATTGTTGTTTACCGCTCATGGGTTTACTTTTTGGATGGTGAAAGGCAAAAGCTATGGCTGCTTTCTTGTCTGGTGAAATGAAGGACACCGTGGAGATGAATCCTGCTGGCGCATATGGTCAGCACCTTTCAGGTTTATTAGTTGTAATAATCTCATGATAGTCTGAAGTGCTCGAGCGCTTTTTCTCGCGAAAAGAACGACAGAAGCTATTCTGTAGTTGGGCTGGTAGCGCCAGCATGTGGATTAAGGTGAGTGGGAACATCTCTTTGGCTGGGCGCCTCCGTAACAATCAACAGGGAGGAGCGGATGTTTGGGGCGATGCCAACTGGGCACCTGATGACGACCCCGGATCATCACATACACATGGTGAACTGATTGCGTTCAGACAAGCAGCTATGCCACTTTCTGCGCATGACATCACCCAGCCAACAAGAAATATGACGGCTGATGACGCAAGCACATGGATTTTGGAGCGTACTCCGTCAACATTCCAGGTTGATGACTGTCGTGTTTTTTCTGTGAAATAATGCTCATAAAGAGACAGAAAATGATATGGGCCAACTACTCATTCGGTATCGAGCGGAATGAACGAGTGCTCAAGAAGAATGCCCTAGATCCAAGGAAATGGTCAAACCCTTTGGAAGTGCAGTATGTTGTTCGTTAAAAGCCTCTTGAAACAAGCTGATAAGTTTTCATAGGCTGCCAAATGCGCCTTCTATGAAGATCATTTGTGTTTACGGACATGGAAAAGAAACTGAAGTACTCCCCAAGGTTTTCTGTTGCATTTTACAATACTGAATTCCGTACCAGAGATCGTACTGGTATGCTCACGGACCACACGATCACGAGGAATCGTTTGTGGAGGTGGAGCCTTCAACTTGCACTGAGCCTACCGACAAATGCAAACATACACTACGCCCACCACTAGATTCGTCATTTTTCAGGGCGAACTGGATAGATTCTGATTACACGCAAGAGACCACGACGCCCAAGGTAAGTTAGCGACTTCAATCAAACCCACCGTCATATGTAGGTCGATTATAGGTGCGTAATGGCGTAAAGATGGGTGAAGGGGATGGTACCGTCAGCCTATTGAGCCTGGGAGCAATGTGTGTAGAAGGCTGGAAGAGACCAAGATGGAATCCAGGAGGAATAAAAGTTACTACTGTTGAAGTACGTCGGACGCTCTCTCCGATCCTGTGATATCCCTCATGCGATCAAATACAGCTTCCTCATCAACCCGCTCCCAACATCCCTCGGGGTGGAGCAAATACGTCAGATCATGTTGACATCCTTGGGTCGACAGGTCTGAATGAACTCATCCTGAAAGTCGCCACTGGTGTTGGTCATGAGGTCGAGGATAACTTTGTCTCTCGCATTAGGGAGTTTGCTCAGCAAGTGCGATGGGATTGAACACCGAGTGTTTTGTACCTTATTTTTGTACATAATTTCATGTTGTCTATTTCAACGGATGATGACGTATGGGTTTATTATAGTGAGGCTTTCGAGATGCTGACGGAGTATCGTTTTCAAAGTTAAACTTCCTCTCCTTAATTCGTCTCCCGAACAAACTTCACATGTGTCGCATGAATGGCAGCCATATACATTGAGGCTTGGTAATCTGTTTATCTAGCCGTCCCTACCCTCAGATCAGCCATATACTTAAAGGCCAGAAAGGAGCACCTCGTCATGCGAACCTCTTACCAAATCCGTTCCAATTTCTATATTTAGCGACGGCCCTTTGTTCTGTGATTTTCCTTCGAGGTCGCGTTTCGGTTTTCAATATCTGACCGATGAGGACAAATATTCTCGACGGAGTCGCTAAACCTCTCACGCCACGTTCGGTTCCTTTGCTTATCTATTGACTGTCCAAACGCGTCCCCGTTGTGTCTCTCACTGATCAATCCGTGGAACTCTTATGCGGCCATCGTGTGATCCTAGAACATGTTATTCAAGCGGTAAGAGAGACAACAACCGAACATGCATAGGAAGAA